AAATTTATCTCAAGTAGATGGTTTAAGACCTGATGGTATGACAACCATACCTTGGGCCCTCGGCAAATCACTCATTGGGACCTATACGTGTGTCTTATCATTCCCTTCAAACATAAATTTCAATTTAATAACACAGGCAGAAATTAAAAAGACAAACAAATACAAAAATTTTAAAAACTTTATATTCACTCCAATAGTGACTTCTACTAAAGGGAATTTTTCGCCTTCAACATTTATGTTTTTAAAAAATCTGCGTAATAAAATACGACTTTTCACAAATGAACCCAGAGAATTTTATTTTATTCGACAAAAAATTCAAATAGAAATTTTTAGACACAATTATGGATCATTTTTGGGTACTCAATTATAGAATTTTATTTTTAATTATATAATTATAAATTATAATTTTTTAATTAGGTTTTATTACATATTTTATAATTTTATATATTTTCATAATCCTTAGTGTATTACAATTTTTTATAAAGACGGTTAACCACATTAATTACGGAATTCAAATTTACTAATTGAGCACTAAATTATGGCGAAAACCGGATGTTTGGTATTACTATAGTATTTGTTTTGGCACGTCGCCATAATTTGTTTTTATCGCAAATAACTTTTTATTCTTAAATTCGGCTACAAAGGTTATTAAAGAATTAATCTCTACTAAGGAAGCTCTAAAGAAGGATATAAATTTCATCGTTATTGCTTTAATAATTTTCTGGCATAATTTGACCTTTAAACATTTCTTTAGCGTATTACAATTTTTATAAAAACGGTCAACCAAATTAATTATGGAATTCAAATTTACTAATTTAGCACTAAATAATGGCGAAAACCGGATGTTTAGTACTGCTATGGTTTTTGTTTTGGCACGTCGCCATTATTTGTTTATTTTTGTTTTTTTCGTAAATAACTTTTTATATTTAAATTCGGCTACAAAAGTAATTAAAGCACTAACCTCTACTAAGGAAGCCCTAAAGAAGGATATAAATTTCATCGTTAGTGCTTTCATCATTTTCTGGCCATAATTTGACCACTAAATATTTCTTTAGCGTATTACAATTTTTTATAAAGACGGTTAACCAAATTAATTAAGGAATTCAAATTTGCTAATTAAGCACTAAATAATGGCGAAAACCGAATGTTTAGTACTATTAAAGTTTATGTTTTGGCACGTCGCTATTATTTGTTTTTTTCGCAAATAACTTATTCTTAAATTTGGCTACAAAAGTAATTGAAACACTAACCTCTACTAAGGAAGCCCTAAAGAAGGATATAAAATTCATCGTTAGTGCTTTCATAATTTTCTGGCCATAATTCGACCTCTAAACATTTCTTTAGCGTATTACAATTTTTTATAAAGACGGTTAACCAAATTAATTACGGAATTCAAATTTGCTAATTAAGCACTAAATAATGGCGAAAACCAGATGTTTAGTACTGGTATAGTTTTTGTTTTGGCACGTCGCCATTATTTGTTTTTTTTTGCAAATAACTTTTTATTCTTAAATTCGGCAACAAAAGTGATTGAAGCACTAACCTCTACTAACGAAGCACTAAAGAATGATATATGTTTCATCGTTAGTGCTTACAAAAGTTCGGCCAACTTCACGCGTAAATCATGACGTCATAGTTTTTATTTAGCTAATAACTTTTTTCCATATGGCGGTTAACTAAATAACGGAATTTAAATACATTAACTAAGCACTAAATAATGGCAAAAATCGGATGTTAAGTACTACTCTAGTTTTTGTTTTGGCACGTCGCCAATATTTATTTATTTTTGTTTTTTTTGTCAATAACTTTTTATTCTTAAATTCGGCAACAAAGGTGATTGAAGCACTAACCTCTACTAACGAAGCACTAAAGAATGATATAAGTTTCATCGTTAGTGCTTCCAAAAATTCGGCCAACTTCACGCTTAAATCGTGACGTCATAATTTTTATTTAGCTAATAACTTTTTTTCCATATGGCGCTTAACTAAATTAATAACGGAATTTAAATACATTAATTAAGCACTAAATAATGGCGAAAACCGGATGTTTAGTACTACTCTAGTTTTTGTTTTGGCACGTCGCCAATATTTGTTTATTTTTGTTTTTTTCGCCAATAACCTTTTATTCTTAAATTCGGCAACAAAACTGATTGAAGCACTAACCTCTACTAATGAAGCACTAAAGAATGATATAAGTTTCATCGTTAGTGCTTTCAATCAACTTTTAAGCGTGAAGTTGGCACAAATTTTTGCTTGTAACTTTTTTTCCTTAAATTCGGCTACTATACGGATTGAAGCACTAATAAGCACTAACGAAGCACTAAAAAATGACATATGATTCATCGTTAGTGCTTCCAAATGTTCGGCCAACTTTACGGAACTGTAAAAATGTAATATTCTTTTTAATATAATTTATTAGTGATTATCACAATCTTCTTTGTAAATACATCTTTTATTGAGGAATTATATTGTAAATTTTATTAGATAAAAAAACAATCTTTTCTAATTTTTTTTATCAATTTTTTAAAAATATTTATATTAAACTTTTATGATGTAATTTTATATGATCTTTTTAAGGATAATATTTTAATGTGACAATTGTCATAATCGCTTTTTTTAAAGTTTTTTGACGAAAATATGTTTAAATAAGTATTGATAACATGTTTAAATTAAATTTAGTGAAGATGTACCGTAAAAAGTAACCATTGTCATAATCGTTATTTTTAATGTTTTTTGAATTTTATTGATGAAAATATGTTAAAATAAGTATTGATAACATGTTTAAATAAAAATGTAGTGAAGATGTACTCTAGATAAGCGACAATTGTCATAATCGTTAATTTTAAGTTTTTTGAAGCAAGGTTAAAATTAGTGCTATAATTAATTTTGATTAAGAAATTAAAATACAAATATTTATTTTTTTTAAGCTAAAGATAATTTGATTGATAAATAACCAATTATTAACTCGACTTATTTTTCTTCTATTATAAAATTTGATGTAAATATTAATAAATTTTTTTATTAAATATTTTTTAAGGAGATTTTTATTCATATTAAGTGTTGTTTATGAATTTTTAAATGTGGTTTTTGTAAATAATTAATTTATGAGATAGCAGTAGAGGTGTTATTTGAATGACCTTAATTTTTAAAATATAAAAATTTTGTCCCGTCTCCTTTTTTCAAAAAAAAGGCCTGGCCAGGATTTTTAGTCTGTACTTTATATATTCAGGGCCGGCCCGTCCTAGATTTTTTTAATGTTGTTTTATGTTAAATATGTTATCAATACTTATTTTAGCCTATTTACGTCAAAAAAATACAAAAAACTTTAAAAACTACGATTATGACAATTGTCAATTTTCTACGGTACATCTTCACTAAATTTAATTTAAACATGTCCTCACTATTTATTTAAACATATTTTCGTCAAAAAAAATCAAAAAACTTTAAAAATAACGATTATGACAATTGTCACTTTTCTACGGTACATCTTCACTAAATTTTATTTAAACATGTTATCAATACTTTTTAACATATTTTCATCAAAAAAATTCAAAAAACTATGATTATGACAATTGTCACTTTTCTACGGTACATCTTCACTAAATTTTTATTTAAACATGTTATCAATACTTATTTTAGCCCATTTACGTCAAAAAAATTCAAAAAACTACAATTATGACAATTGTCACTTAGCTATGGTACATCTTCACTAAATTTTATTCAAACATGTTACCAACCAATACTTATTTTAACATATTTTCGTCAAAAAAATTCAAAAAACTTTAAAAACTATGATTATGACAATTGTCACTTAGCTATGGTATATCTTTACTAAATTTTATTTAAAAATGTTATCAATACTTATTTTAACATATTTTCGTCAAAAAAATTCTAAAAACTTTAAAAATTATGACAATTGTCACATTAAAATATTATCCTTAAAAAGATCATATAAAATAACATCAAAAAAGTTAAATATAAATATTTCTAAAAAATTATTTTAAAAAAACACTCATTTAATAAAAAAATAGATAATTTTACAAAATTGATAAAAAAAAATTATAAAAGATTTCACCTAAAAGATTGTTTTTTATCTAATAAAATTTACAATATAATTCCTAAATAAAATATGTATTTATAAAGAAGATTGTGAAAATCACTAATAAATTATATTAAAAAGAATATTACATTTACAATAGCAGCATATTATTTTTTTTATTAAAAAACATCAAATAAATAAATTTATTTTCATTTCAAAATATAACAATATAAAATAAAAAATATTAAATCATATCATGTTTATTTGTTGATAATAATAAAATATTACATTAAATATAAATAAAATAAATAATAATTAATGCTAGGCATTGATGCAGAATTTTTGACTAATTTATTTTAGTCAATTTTTAGGCTTAGCCTAATTAGGCTATTTTATAGTCGGCTAAAATTAGCCGATTATGCAACACTAATTTTAATGCTAGATTTATTATTTATAAGTATGTAGTTTTTAATAAATCATTAACTAATTGAAAATGATATTCATATGCTTCTCCCCTGCCTCCAAAAGTATATGGCTAGGAAGTTGAGATTTTGCCCAAATATAGCTTACACAAACCCTAGTTTCTATGTTTAATTTAGTAAAAAAGGATCATCCAAAAACTGTTTTTCATTAATTTGAGATGAAATGAGACCCTTATATAGGGATCAATATGGCCTAACTCAGAAGAATTTTAAAAAAAATTCAGTCTGGCTCAAAAAGTATTTTATATAGGTGTCCCACTCAATTTTTTCCTTAAGTCTGGCCCGTAATATTTCTTTAAAGTTTAAACATTTTTGGGTTGGCCTATTATCCCAACAAATATTTTGCCCAAATTACTAGCCCAAAAAATATACTGCACAAAGCAGATGTTACTTTCCCCAAATTTAGTCCCTCTATGGGGTGAGACCTTAAAAATTAAAAAAAATAAATTCAACAAACTTTTAGGATTTTATAAAGCATACCTTTAATCCTTCTTCAAATTGTGATATTATCTGTTCTTCTAATTGATTATTTTTTTCATTCTTTTAGGAATAAAAATTCAAAAAGAAATATTTAAGTGTTAATTGGTATAAAAATTAATACAAAGTTATGATTTCCTTTAGTAGAATTATAAAAACTTGTCTAATCAATTATTAACAAAATATTCAACAATATTAATTAATTTAAAAGTATTCCAGAAAAATTAGTCCTTACATGAATAATATTTTATAATTGAAAAATTACCTCTATATCTGTTTTACATTTTCTTAAACTTGATCTTTTAACAACAGTGAAATAATCTGTTACTAATTGTTTTTGATAATTTTTGTCCTTTTTAGTGTGATTTGAAAAAGTAAGAGGAGGACTTGTATAGGGTGGGATGTTAGGTTTTGTAAAAGATTTTATGCTAGTTTGATGAGTCGGTGTTTTATCACAGGCCTTTTTAGTAACTTTGTTATCATTTATATCTTTATTCTTGTTATTAATTTTATCACCTAAAGTTTCCTTTGATTGTATGCTATTATGTTTAGACAAGCTATTGTTACTCATTAAAATATTTTGGGTACTTTTAATGATTATTTTCACTTTAGTTGGATCTGAATGATTTATTACTTCATATCTATAATAAACAATATAATCAACATTAAAATAAAATTAAAAGATCATGAATATTTTTAAATTATCAAAATTTAATAAATATACAGGTATAAAGAATTTTTTTTATAATATACAACTTACCCCATTTTCAGCTCATATTTGTGCAATTTTATAAAATTTATATATACAAATGATGATGATGTACTAAATAAAAACTATAATCATTAATGGTAGATTCATTAGAAGAGGAACATTACATTAATGTTAGAAATAGAATAGAATGTAATCTCAAAAGATTTGTAAATTTCACAATAAAATGCATTATTTTGAATTAGCCAATAGCGAATAATCAATAACGGCGCAAAAAGAGCAGTCAGCCGTCACATAAGCTAATATAAGAGCTGTTTATTAGCAATGATGTATATATATTAGTAAAACCAGGCAAGTAGCCAGGAATTTTCTACAAGGGATTTGCGAGGGGGGAGGATATTTTTTATATAAAAGAATTTAAATTATGTAAGAATGTCAACAAGTAATTCTATTTATAATAGCAGATTCAACAAAATCGACAGAATTGAACAAAACTAACTGCAAAGATTTGGAATATAGGTTGAATTTGATTTTGACACTAGTGCGCTGGGGCTATTGATCGTAATTGATATATGGGCAAATATTGGACGATCAAAAAACAAGCCAACATGTTCATTGACGAATATGAGGAACCGTTAGATGTTAAAAGAACGATACCCCAATTTAACCTTATGATTATAAAATTTGAAACTTATAAAATTGTGGTTTATTCCAACTAGAGCAGCGGTCGTGTAAGGGCGTGAATTATTTTCTTACCACAGTGAGCGGGCGGGCCAGGAATATAAATTTAGGCCGGCAACTACAACTTATACATCCATCTACAATCAATATAAAATTTGAAACTGATAGCCTAATATTTATCATAGCTATTTATAATTTAAGCGGTTTATTCAAAGAGGAGTTTGAAATTTTCCCCTCTTTAAATAATGGAATTCGTAATAAATTTATATTCAATTTTAATTTTCAAGTGTTACATCGACGATATCTATATTTTACACACAATCATATACATTATTCTCCAAATGAAACTATTTCTGGACAATTTTCTGCTATCCTTTTAAGATTAGACATTCGAACAGTAAAATCCTATTCCTAAGAATATACTATGATAATGAATGCATTGTAAATGAAGGAGTTTCTAATTGATTAATCTAAAAATAACTCTTGCATATTCACAATATTTTGATAGTTGGTGGTAGCGCATTAATTATTTTTAAAATTTATGAAGGGGGTACCATTGTAATTAATAATCTGAAAATATTGCCACCCTAAGCGAGAAATTAGGAAGGTAGATATACTTTTAAGGGGGGGGGGGGGGGTTGCATCTAATGAATATCCTCTAGGCGCTGTTGAACTCAACTTGGGTTTTAATAAATTGCAACTAAACATCTATAACCTGAACCGTTGTTAAGCAGAAAAAGAGAAATGGGCAATAGATCGCAAGTTGGAGTAAAGATAATCAGGTATCTGGAATTATAGGATAGGGGCATTCCAATTATTCTGCTTGCTTGAAGTGTAAAGAGGAGTGGCAATTGCACTTGTGTTGTGCCGGACTAAGGGTGCATTCACAGTAGAGAGCGACAGCTACATTACAAAATACAAATATATGTAATTACCAATGACTATTCATAGTGATCTTTTGCTACGTGACACGACATTCCAGCCACCTTTGTCGCATTAAACATTGAAATCAACTTACAAAACATTTTGTTTTTTTTTTCAAAGCGACATAACTACAATATGGCCGAAAAAGAAAATTTGCAAGTAAATTTTTGAAAAGCTATTAAAATAATAAATGTTATATATATATGTTAGAATATAAATAAATATTATGTTAATAATTTTTTATAAAAAATCAATAAAGAAGATTTAATTAACTCCATCAGATACCATCAGCTAAAGACAATATTGAGACAGGTAATTAAAGAGTATATTAATTTGAAATATTTTTCTTTTGCTGGCCAAATCAGCATGGAAAAATCTAAGAGATAGCTTTATGAGGGAACATAAAAACTATAGAGCCAGGAATTCAGTATAACAATTTGAAAAAAAAAAAATCCTGTTATATCTAAAATTGATTAAGCAAATATTGCTAGAGCAATGTATTAGTAAAGGAGTTGTAATGTATATATTTAGCATCATCATCAACTAGTATAGGATCAAATTTATCTTGCAAATAAAAAATTAATTAAAAAGAGGGATATTGATCAAGGTAGTTTGCATTTGTAAATATTTTTATTATTTTAAACTAGATCTATTTGAGCAAATACTTGAAATAGAAAAAATGAAAGAAAAAAGATTATCTACAAATTCTTGGATCAATGTCATTCATGCTTGAGCAAACTCTTGCAAAAAGATCAGAAAGGGGAAAGAAAAACTTATTAAAATTATTTTTGATATACTCTTCAATTTTGACAGTGATCAAGAATAATAAAAAATATTTTATTGTATCGTTATTATTTCATTGGAGGGCTTTTATATTATTTTAATCATATTTAAGAATAAACTTTCTTTTTATTAAATAATTAGAAATCAATATAAAAAAAATAGAGTAATATTTTTAAAATTTACTAAATTATAAAGTTATAATGGCCATGATAATTTATTTCTATTTGTTAAGTTTTTAGGTGGTCGATTATCTAAGTCCCCCTTATCAATTATTTTTGATAACAAAGAATTTGAGTACACACCTCCATCTGATTCACTGCCATAACTGCCAATAGCAATTACTATAAATCTACCTTTACCATCTACTAATGCTTGTAATATCATGGAGAAATATTGTTTATAATTGTAATATATGCTCGCAGATTTAGAAGGATTTTTAATCTCAATGTACTTGCCAGTACATGTTGTTATAATTATTTTTTCAATTGTCAATATTCCCATTTTATGTGAATAGGCTAAACTTGGATAGTTACATCCTGTTCGCAAATATCTAAGCAATTTTGATTGTATAAAATAAAATTAATATAAAACTTAGTGTGATCATCAAGTTTTCTTCTACTGATGTTGGATTTTTAATAAAATTTGTTTTTCATTAGTTTTGAATTAATATGAGTTAAAATATAATAAAAGGTTTTCTAATTACAAAATTTTAATTTAGATTATACAATGAAATATATACTTTGGTTAATCTCATATAATTGTAAAACTTTTCAGGATTGCTTATAAGTTTTGGAAATAGTAGTGAGAACTCTCCTTCCTCTCTTTTCTAACATTCAGATTATTTTTTTCTCCTTTTCATATAAGGATATAATAGGAATAATTTTAAAGTTTTATAGATACCTTGTTTTTTAAAAAATAAAAATATGCTTGTCGCACTCGCAACTACTATGAATGCTATGTCGCTTACGACACATCAGCTGCTCTGTCGTTTAATGTTGTGTCGTATTTGTAGTGTCGCATACTTAATCATGTGCATATTTTATTATTTTTATAAACCATTTTTATTTTACTTTATGAATTTACATTATAAAAATTTATACATAAAATTCTAGCTTTATAAAATTATTTTAGGATGTTAATTTAAATTTAAAAAAAATAATAATATGATAAGCAAATATACGAATTTTAAAATATAATATAATATCAGAGTTGTTACTAACTTTTTTAGTAGCTATAGCTAATAGCGGCTTATGTTTTTGTAATTATTTAATTTTTTGGCGCGCTACTTAGCTACTTTTAAAAAATATAATGAATCTAAGTATAAATATGAAAATTTAAATATAATATCATAATAATTATAATTTTTATGATTTATTATTAAATTTTGAAATTGAAATATATTTTCAATTTGTAATTTATATTTTCATTTGTATTATAAGCCTAAATCACGTATTAATCATTTAAAATGTCATCGCTTATGGATATCCAAATAGTTGAAAGTGATTCAGACAACTATATTAATGATGAAATGGAAGATACCAGGGAAGAAAATGTTCTTAATAGAATAGAAAATTTCCTACCTAGATTTGAAAAAATTTTTTAAATAAATATTAATACCAAAACTGACTTCAAATTTATTTGTTTAAAATGTAAAAAAAATATTTCCTCAAATCAATCCTGTAGCTATAACCTCTAGAAACACTTAAAGGTAAATTGTTATTTTAACATTCTAATAGTATTTATTTTATAAGACTGTTCATGCCAATCGTTTTAAGGAAATGGAGAAACATCTAAATAATTGGTATAGGCTACTCTACTTCCAAAAAAACTAATTCCTAAATTAAATAATAATACAAATGCCAATATTTCTCAGAAATTGGCTGATAAAGTTATACTTTCTGATCTGATCGTCTTTCTATATACTTGGGAATGATAATATTGAAATGATCTTATTATTAAAATGCAACAAATTACAATAAATATTTATTTTTATTACATAAATTTTTTTATAATAAAATCTAACTATTTTTTAATATTTATAAATGTTGTTATATATTTACTATACAATGACATCATAAGCATAAAATAAAACAAATATGTTTCTAAATTTTTTTTATAAAAAGTAACTTAAAAAGTAGCGAAAGCTACTTTTAAAAAATAGTAGCTAATAGCGCGCTACTTTTTTTGAAAAATAGCGATAGCGGTAGCATGCTAATTTTAAAAGTAGCGTTTAACAACTCTGTATAATATGAATGAAAAAAGTAAGAATCAAATGTATTTGACTACTGCAACTAGGAGAAACCTCACCTAGTAAATAGTCTTATGAAATAAATGAGAGGCAAGGATTGCAGAATATTATTTGCTCTTAAATATTTTTGTACTTCCCAATATTATATTATTTGTGTTCAAAATTTTATTTTTTAAAAAATGATTGGTTTTAATAAACTTTATATGATGATTCTAACAATTTTTTAAGTTAAAAAATAAAATCCTTTCAATATTTAAAAAAATAGCTCCTCCTCCTTCCTATGAAAAATTCCTGGCTCCGCGCCTGAACTGTACAAAAGTCAACTAAAATGAAAGCTAAGATGGGTGAACGTCAGATTGGATAAATTACCTAAAGTAGATGAGGAACATTATGACACTTGAAATAACAATAAATGCACTAGGGAATTCAATATCACCCATGTTTATATATGTTACATGATTGTAAATATTGTAAAATAATTTACAATTTATATTTTAATGTTAAGGCGTATTTTTATATTGTATTGTGACTTGATAATTAGATATTATATATATTCATTTTTTTTTATTTTTAAAGTTAATTGTTTAAATAGAAAACTAAATTAATATATATATATTATATTTTTGAAGAAAATTAAATTTATATATATATATTATATTTTCACACAAAACATATACACATTGTTTCTTAAATAAAATTACATATATATTTTTCTTAAATACGACATAAAATAATAAATAATTGTCTCACTACCTTGATCGTTCTCATATTATTATCGACTAAAACCCCAACGTTATTGCAAGTTTCCCCCCTTGCAACAATATATCCCAGAAAAAATATTATGACCATTACTTCAGAGATGGACCTATAGATTCTATTAGGATTTCTAATGGTTCTGGTTGGATGTATTTTGTATTTTTTTAAGACATTTTGCAAAGTATTCTAAGCCTATCAAAGAAAACAAAATTTTAATGATATTAAAATATCATAGTTCTCACCAGTCTTTGAGTTCAATAGAATTTTATAGTATCAATAATATAAATTAACCATACCACCACATTGCACTCATAAGTTGTAACATTTAGATAAAACTGTATTTGAACCCTTTAAAGGATATTACAAATAAATGATGCATGGATGAGAAATAATCCAGTATTGTATAAATTTTGCCGAAAATCTGTGATCCTGAAACAATAAAAATGAATTTAAATCTTATAGGGCATGGCTATATTCCTATAATGTTTAATGATGATAGATTTAATTCTCCTTATTTTGATAATGATTGAAGATATGGTAAAAATTAAAAATAATTATATATCTTTTATATCAATACCATTTAATTCCCCATTCAATCCAAATGAATTATGAAACTATAATATCATATCACCAATTGAGCCATTAATATTAATGAGCCATTAATATTAATGAGCCAATAACACTCAATAAACCTTATTATCTAACCTCAATATTTTTTACGTCTATAATGCCATATCCAAAATATATAAAAGGAAGGAACCTAAAAATAAGCAATCGTATTCCTTTTTAACCTCCTCTCCCTATAAAAAATGCCAAAGATAGGGGAAAATTGCTTCTAAAAACAACAACAATAATAGGATAAAATGATAATAAGAACGACAATAATAAAATAACGTGTTTAATATGTAAAAAGAATTAGTACAAATCTCATAATAATGAGGACTAGTTCTAATGTTGTGAATGCACTTTAGGAATACATAGATCCTATCTAATTTTTATCCATTTTTTATTTGTTTAAATTCAGTATTTCAATAATTTTTTATAATTATAATCTAATAGGCCGTGTCATAGGTCGCCGTCTTTTAAGTATCGGCTAAATAGACAAAAGAGCAAAACAAAAAATTTATAAAAAACAAAGAAGAAAAAAAAGAAGGAAAGAAAGAAAGAAAGAAAGAAAGAAAGAAAGAAAGAAAGAAAGAAAGAAAGAAAGAAAGAAAGAAAGAAAGAAAGAAAGAAAGAAAGAAAAGAAAAAAACATGGAAAAAAATAATGAAAAGTAAATATAACCAAAAAACAAAAAAAAAGAGATTAAAATACGAAAAATAATAATGCCATAATATTTAAAATAAACCAAAATAGGGTGCCCTTAATCAAATATTTTTTAGTCTATGCTAAAAAGCAATTAAATAACTAAATCAAGCCGGCCTAGGATGCAGTCGTATGGCTTATTAATAAAATATTTGCAATAATATAAATATCATTAAAAAATAATCAATATTTTACAGCCCAAAGTGCCTCGTGAGAAAGATCCTTTCTCAATTTTTTATAGAAAAATTATTAATGTCAAGAAAGTATAATTTAAAAAAAATTAGTGGAAATGAGATTATTCAATATTATCAAATAGTTTTAATTTTATTGATGTTTGCCTTTTAGTCACATCTTTTCCGGTCTTCCCCAATTATGATCTAATAGGAATGACTGAGAAATAAAAATTCCTCAGGTATTTATAACAATATATTAATATCCATTGTAGTTTCAACAACCTGCTCATTCGGAAAAAAACATAACCCTTTCACATATCAGCCAAAAGAGCCCTAAAACAACAATTTCAAGAACTTTTTCGATCAAACAAAGGTTAAACTTTGAAACTATACGCTACAATTTTTAGTTAAAAATTCCTAGGAATCATTATAGGAGAATGATTCATATTTTAAACTATTTAAATTTATTTATATTAATTGTCTTTTTTTGGAACTTATGCATTTGTATTTTAATCATATAAGTTATCTTATTGCTTACTAAAATCAATAACTTTAAAAAAATTAAATATTGAAAAATAATTTTTATAATTTAGGGGAATTTTTATAAGAATATAGAATCCATAGGTATTTAGAAAATATCATTTTAAGATTATTTACTAAGAGCGATTTTTAAATTTGAAAAATTTGATTTTAGCGAAAACATTCTGATACATATTTCCGGGCAAATAAGATTTTTTAAATTTAAGATCTTAATCAATACAAGATTTAAAAATGTAAGATTATAGATCTATGGATTCCATACCCTTACAATTAATGTACATATAATATTATTCCTTTTTTAAAAAAAGAAAAATTAATATTTTTTATTCGGACATAATTCGAAATTTAATATTATTTTTGCAATTACATCAATATAGTTTGAATAAAATACTGAAATATGTATAATTTGTCTTTATATGGTATATTTATTCTAAATTTGTCAGGTTAAAGATATTATCGATCTTCTGTCCTACTAAGGAGTTCGAAAAATGGATACCTTTGAAAATTATAGTAAAAGTGGCTATAACAGCGAATATAGTGAAAGCGTACAAACATAGCCTGTCTACGATCATCGAAACAAATTTCCAATCCATAGAAATTTCATGATCTCTATATATTAATAAGATAATAATAAAAATAAATAAATATCAACACATTTAATTATGTTAAATATTATATTGAAAATCTGCATGTAAAACACTTTGTTTTAAGAATCGGCATTGCAAAGCATTTGATAGGAATATAATGGTAATTATAGTATAAATGAGAACTATATATGAAATAAATTTTCAATATAACATAAAAAGAAGGAACTAAAAATGACTAATCGGCTTAGTGAAGAGTAGATGCTTAGAAAATGAGAGTGATAGATCTCTAGAGAGATCTTTTATATAGTATAATATTCCTTTATTGTTGGACCTATTCTAATAATTTTTAACAAATGGCTTTGCTCTTTATAACTTTGATATAGCAAATTCAAGAAATTAAACTCATTCTAGTTTCACGGTTCGGTTAGTTCCTGGTCCCTGATTTAATCAAATGCATACAATTTATAAGGCTGAAACGATATTCTCTCTTTTCTTTTCTTTTCTTTTCTTTTTTTTTGTCAATAAAGTTAATAAATTTATTTTATAGATAATGTAAAATGATATATTATTTATGATATGTTTTTAATCTATTTACATTTACACAATAATTTTTATTTAAAAACTAGCAAATATCTCCGGGATTTATATTTCCAATTTGTTAAGGAGTCAAAACTCTATAAAACTATTTATTGCTCTAATTTATATTTTTCAATTATGAACATTTTATTCATTTAGATAAAACCTTTTATGTTTTAAAACGTTTGTTTATGATAAAAGTTTACGATTTTAGAATATAAATTTCAGTTAATTATCAGATTTTTAAATTTTTAAATAAATATGTAAATATGTAAATTGTAATTTACTTAAAATAGAGTGATTAACTAATTATTTAAATAGTATATAATAATAAAGAAATGGTAACGTAAGAGCTAACAATTATCATATTTTAAAATTTTAACCTTCAATAAATATATAAAACATTCAAGATTATTCATTAAAAAATATTTAAATTATATGTTTATGGGAAAAATATTAAAGATGACATAAAACGACCCAAAGCGTATTATACACAAACGCGAAAAGGTTTTCTCATTTTATGGGGTAGGGTTACAATGAATGTACCACCTATTTTTAAAAGTATCATTTGTTTTTTAATATTGAGTATAAAAATAAATGTATATTAGCTATAAACCTATTTGAATGTATATGTTGTAGAAACTCAATTTTTGTATCAGGAGGGGGGGGGGGTTATTGTATATTTTTTAACGTTTAAAATGAACTTATCTAGCCATACGGGAATCAATACTTATATAAATCATACAAGACATTGCATTCCTTATAATTTTAACATGCAAGTTATATTTTATTAATTTAAATATAATAGGTTTCTCACACTTTAAATTAAATGTGTTACGATACATTAATTATAAATATATTTCCATAGTATACTTATCATCTTTCTTCATCTTTCGGGTTATCATTTGCAATTCCTTTAAGATTCTCTTGATTGATTCACATTGACATACGCTGCCTTTACAATCCACATTCTTATTAATAACTTCGCCTTTATTAATCCCAACATGCGTAGAGGGGGATGATTCTGATAGCTTGCTATTAGTACTAGAACCTGACTTATTAGAGAAAATTGTTTCTCTTGTTACATTGCGAGATATCAAGTCATCAGTCGCAAATTCTTTACTTCCGTTAGCCATAGAAAATTGGTTATGTACTTTTGTATTATAAACTTTTTTACGTGACTTATCAATGTAAATGTCGTTGGTATTCTCAAAATTATTTATGGAAGTATCATGTTGATACAAAAAATCGCACTTGGGACTTAAAAACGAATACAGCATTTTGTCTAGTTTATCCTGCCTGTGACAAGTATCTCTCAACCCATCATCTTCGAATATATTATCATCGTTAATATTATCTTCTGGAGGGGCGCTTGGATTTAGTCTTAAACTAGAATTTTTTCTACAAATTTGTCTAATGAGACAACAATATTTATGGGAGGAATCATTCAAGTGATCGGGCTGAGGTTTAAAGGAATTACGAAATTTAAATTTTAAAAGGTTTAAAAATATCTGACTTGTTTTTTCTATCAAGTACGGCGTATGTTTGCTAAAACTTTCATCAAATTCATCTTCTAAGTCTTCGAAACTCATACCATATGCCCCTAATTCGCGAAATTTAGAATTTACCCTATAGTTCCCTTCATCATCAAACATATCACTCATGGAATAAATGTCGTGTTCATTGGATTTGCCATGATTCATAATTATATGAGGATTTTTAAGTACTCTGGCATTGTGGCCTAGATAATCATGGGGTGAGTACATACAACCCGGAGTGTGAACAAAATTACTCATTAGGTCATCTGCGCTCTTTGCCTCGCTAAAATTATCAATCCTCTCGAAATTTAGGATGTTGTTAAGCATATTTCTGGATTGCTTTTCTCTTAGAGCTATTTCACGTAATTTTTTATGTAATTGAGACATCTTTCGCTTTGTTGTCCTCTCTTTATCTACTGGTCTCTCCATTTTCAAGATTTTGGCCATCCAATCTATGAAAAATTTGCGTACCTATTTACAATAATATGGTCAATGGGAATTTTCTTCAGAATATAAAACTTTTACAATATATAACATTCGGAAGATCTGCACTTCCAAAAAATTAATTTAATGTAAGGAGATAATTATTTTTAATAAAATTTATCAATATCTAACCATATACGGCATGTGGAAGGTCTCCGCACTTCTATTATGAAAATTCAATACTACCACAGTCATTAAGACCGAAGCCGAACACATTACCATTATACAAGAAAAATAAATACCTAAACGAAGGTTTAAAACAAATTAAAATACTATTACCAATATTGAAATAACAAATAACTTATAGGGTTACAGTGGATATATCAATATTTCATTACACTTAAGGAGAAGTTTAGTTTTAAAAAATCCTTTTAGACTGGTATAGGGAAATTGATTGAATATCGAGTAATTATGGGAAGATGATCGTTTAAAAAAAATTAACTGAATTTTCTTTTTAAAAAAGCGATTTTTTTCCTCATCCCTTATAAATAAAAATTATGATTTTTAAATTGGAATATGTGGCAAATAAAATTATACCTATCAGCGGGACGGAGTCAGAAGTGGCAGGCATTGTTTCAGCTACCAACAATAAAAATACAGTCAGCGAGAGTAATATTGTCACTCCTGTAAAAAAAGCATCAACTATCAATAAATGATGTTCTTATATTATAGTTCAGGGATAGTTAGACAAAGTACCATATGGTTAAAAATAATTTACGCCATATTAAAAGATTTAAATGTTTAAGAGAATCAATTAAAAATTAAATTAGATTAACTATTTATTATCTAACATATCTACTTCTGAGAATTGGGTTATTCCATATCCACCTTTTTATCAAAAATGATTTTTTTTACATAAATCATTTTTTTATAATTATACTATTTTATTTACATAAAAAAAATCCAAAATATTTATAAATTAGCCAATATATGGTTAACCATCCTATTGCAAACAATAGAAACTTAATTTTTAAAATTATTTTCCTGTAAAATTACAGAAAGTGGAGATGGAATAATCAAATTCTCAGGTGACGAAATATAACAATACAAAGTTTAGTTATATTGTAGTATTGTCAAAATATAGTTATTAGTTTATAACAAATTTAAAAGCAAAAAAAAATGACAGGTGAAAACCCAAAGTCAGTTTCTCTCCGGAATCAGGTGGTAAGGCAAATCCTAAAAGAGTCATCGAAGATATGAGCACACAAGGGATAATTATATTGAAACCATAGTAAAGAGTTCTCCTCCTAATAACTACTTCATAAGTTATATCAACGTAGGGTTCTGGACAGCAATCGTAAGTTTTAATATTTTTGGTAGCAGGTATCCCTATTTTTCCAATAATTGGTTATAATAATAAAACCATCAATGAAACCGATATTTTTTTCACTTAGACTTAGACGTTACTTGATTGATAAAGATTCCTCTTTTTTTCTTCTCTTTTATTTCTTATGTGGTAAGTATAGATAAAAAAAATTGGGGAAAGGTTAAATTTAGGCAAAATTTATTAAAATGGTCGCTTTATTTTCTACCAAATGTATTGATGCTTCAAAAATTTGCAATTTTATTCTCTATATATATAAAATATGAATATTACAGATTTTATTTTATCATTTATCTCGATTTTAACCTAACATGTCCCATTCTCCGTTTTGCATATAGGTTGATACATCCGCCGAACTATTTTTTAACTTCAGATCTATTTTGAAGCCATTGTATGTCCAGGAACCAAACTTTAATGGACACTTCTTTATAATTATACGTTATTTTAATTATTTCTTTATCTATCTTTATTATAATATGAATGAACCAAGAAATTAGGTGTCATTTTAGAGCACGTCAATAATTCAGCAATCATATGATTTTTTTAACTTCGGTATATAATATATCCTAAGTTTTGTTGGAATAACTTATTCCATCTCATGTAAGTATAATCTCTTAATTTTAAATCTACGATGAAGGCGATTTTTAAAGTCGAAAATGATTTTACCGGAAGTGTACTCCCCCCACGGGCAGAGTATCTATAATACTCTATAAAATTTACACCCTTTAACCTTTGTATAATTTATAATTTACATAAAAAGAATAGTCCACTTTAAAATTGTTTGAAATTCATAAAGAGGATACTTTACATATAATGGAATTCATTTCTGATAAAATAAAAAATTTCCAAACAATTCCTCATATAAACTAAAACATATACTTAATATATAAATTTTGCCTGAAAAGTTATTATAATGATGAAAACAATAAATTCCTTTTTAAAACAAAATAAGGTGTGTTATTGAAACTTGGTAATCAAATGGAAACCATTTGATGTCTATTTTACAGGTGCTTTTAAATATTCCAGGCGGAATATAGTTTATAGTCCCGTCACTTTTAAGCACGGCATTTGTTTGGAACGTTCCGTCGAATCTTTCATCGGCACTTTTAATAATATATTTTTTTAAAAAGCATATACATAGTTTTCCAATGAAACTAACTCTTTTTCGTGAATAAAGAATATAAAAATAATAACAAAACAGATAGATGCCGTTTATTGTTATTTTATGTTCGATTTTTATGGAAACCTTTAAACCTCCCTTTCCCCGCTTTTTCTGCATAATATTTTTAAATACATACAAACATTTAAATTTAGAAAAACATTATATTAAAATCGGCTAAAAAAGCATAAACTTTATAATAAAAATCCGCCTAAGACGTCTAACCCGGCCTAAAATGGGCTGAAAAATAAGTTGACTTAATCCGGCTCGTTCCGAGCTTAAATTTATTTTGAAAATACCTCAATCTCTCAAATTATAAGATATTCTTAATTCGATCATCATGATAATTTGAGATTGATGTTCAGGAACAATAAAAGTAAAAACAATGGAGTTCTTATAACTCTATCAATTAGTCAATGAAAAATAAATATCCAGACTGTGTCAAATAATAAAAAATCCCAGGTCGGGATTGAAAATAAAAAAAAACTCGGAAAGTACGGGATTTCTACGGGTTATCTGATAAAAATAATTTTTCTATAGTGCATAATATTATCTTTAATCAAATTGACCAACCTTAAGGTACACAATTCAAACTTCAAACTCAGTTTTATATAACGAAAGTTGTATAGGTGATTTACAAGCATGTTTTCCCTAAATACTTACTAGAATGGTATAATATAGATTATAAATATATATTAAAAAAATAAGCCTTAGGATAAAATACCTTTAGAAAAAATATTTAGAAGTTAAATATTCGGTCAAATCTTTTTTTTACAAACCTGTTGTACATCAAAATATCCGGTCTCCACACTTTGCTAGCAGCTACCCTTATATCTTTTATGTTTCCGTATTCCGATTCATTCCATTTGAGATTCACGTCATTCCATTCCTTAAAAAAATAGTATAATTATTTAATTTTATCAATTTTTTTAATAACAAATTTACTTGGAATTAAGTAATTATAAATAATAGTAATAATCAGTGGCATTGCTATTTCTTAAGATTCAAGCGCGCTAAAGAGTGCATTTTTTATATTTAGATATGTTTAAAAAAATTAGATCTCACAAATCAGATGTCGATTTGCTAACATGCTGGGCACTCCCCCCCCCTTATCTAAAAATTTAACGAATAAATAATTTTGTCGTAAAATTAATTAAATATACCATAGCCTCTAAATTCCAGATGGTTTTGTTGTTAAGTTTTGTGTATTTTTTTTTAAAATTTATATGAAAAACCTATATCTAAAAGTTCATGATAAAATTATCTGTATAGGGTAGGTAACTCTATACACGCATAAAAAAATATTATTCCGATGATTCGGTATTTCAAAAATTGAAAAACGTATGCTCTATATCATTTAAATTTTAAAAAATTTGGTAAAAACCCATGAAGGAATTATAAACCCTGAATCTTTTAAAGCCCTAACTACCTGTGTATATATTATAATTCACTTTTAACTCTTTTAATATCATCTTTGTTTTTCAATATTATAAATAATAATGGGGTTTATAAAATACATCGAAATGGGGATAAAGTTTTTAATTACAAAAAATCTAAAAATAATGTGGTTTATTTTATAATTTACGTTTCATGCATTTTAAGGACTATTGAAAACCCCCTTTTCACTGTCACATTTTATCAGCGGAACGTTCCGGAAACAAAACTATGGGAAAATTATGGAGCGGGATCAGTTCTAATGCTTTACGTAGCAATATTATTACCTATTTATAAAAACAGTTTTTTAATCAAATTTAAAATCATTTTGAACTTTTTGTTGCAAAATAATTAATATTTATAATAAAAGTTTTAAATTTAATCGATAATTTTATTAATTATATAATATTAATACCACTGCACAAAATATAAATGATGATCTTTTAGAGAATGTATATTTAATGTGTAGATGTATAATTGATCTATTATTAAAGATTAATGAATAAATTTATTATTATACAATAATAAAATAGAAAACTATACATTTATTTTAGAAATGAGTTCCGAAACGTTCATAACCTGAAATAAAACGTGTAACGAATTGGACCAAAATGTGAACAGAATAGGAACTCCCAAAAAAATACTTTTGTCTAAGTGTCTTCAACTTTTTTTTTGCCTATATAGTAGGTCTCACTAAAGGACCCTTTAAGTGTAAGTGTAATAACATTTTTAAGATTTTACAAAAGAAGTATATACTCAATTAAATAATCAAAACTTTTTTTTTACCAGGTCTAGCCATACATTAGATATGAGTATTTGATTCTTTTCATCCTAAATATTAATTTTTTAAAAAATAAATAAAACTTATATCTATGGTATACAAATTTATAAAAGATTAATTCAAAAAAAGCAAAAACTTTTAATCATTTGCACAAGATTCTTTTCCAGGTCCGGCCCAGCAGATTGTGAAAAATTTTGATTGCCGAGAAATTTCTTAAAACTTAAAAAATAGAAATTTCCCGTAATAAGAAGAGAAAGGAGGGGGGAGGAAGAGGCAAACCAGTTCCTATATTTCATATAATTTAAATGGGCGTATTATGAAAAATTTCATAAAATTTTCAAGTATTTTATGTGACGAGTAAAAAAAAAATAATACAAATATTTTAATTAGACCATCAGGACTTTTCAATTAGGAGAGCACTAATGGGCAACGGAATTGGTGAATAAGCAGTTTAGAATATGAAATCGGCAATATTTATGCAATAATTATTCAAAATAAAAGTTATTTATAATAGATAACTGTAATTATGTTATTGTTTATTCTTTCTTTTAAATGTTGGTAAATGAACAAAACGAAAAAACAACCTTAAAAAAATCTAGTTTTGGGGACCCAAAATATTGATAGAAGCCTGGAACCCCAAATGTCTCTATGTAGTTATGATCTTTATTATCATATTAACATATATAATATCATTCGCTTAATTATTGGAGGGTTCAAACTTCTTTTTTTTTGTTTAAATCGACTTAAAGGATTCAGATAAAAATCGTTATCCTTAAGGCTATGTTGCATTTACTTATTTAGATTATTACTCCACTTAATTTTAAATATGTTTTTTTTTAAATATAAAATTAATGGAAGTGGAGTTATAATCACACGATGACAATTACAAAATGTTAAAAACATTTCTACTCTTTTATTTTAGCTTAAATTTATCATTTAAGAAAAAAATTTAATAAATTTGATTTCAAAATTCAAACTAAAAAAATTTTTTTATCTTTTAAAAGTCCAAAAACATAACCAATACAAAAAACTTTTTTTAAAAATTTTTCATAAATCGGGAAATTTTTTCTATATATTTCGTGGATAAAGTTCCCCTTTGCATTCGTCCTATTATTTTTGGCGCCCGTCTTGTCTCCTTGACCAAACCGGATGGCGGCGTTAGACCCATAGCCATAGGGTCATTCTTTCGTCGCTTAGTCGCCAAGGCTATCGTAAATAGGATTCGGCCTAAGGCTAGTTCCTTCTTATTTCCTTCACAGTTAGGATTTGGAGTGAGAGGTGGGTGTGAAGTGGCCTCACATGTTGCGCGTATTTTTATAAATACTGAGGCCGATAAGGTTTTCTGCAAGTTAGACTTCAGAAATGCCTTCAACACCATCCATAGGAGGGCATTCTTACCATCTTTTTTACACCATTTCCCAAAATATGGGAATTTCCTTAATTCCTGTTATGGATTCCCTTCGTTACTCAAATTCGGGGAATTTTCCATCTCCTCCGAAGAGGGGATACAGCAAGGTGATCCTCTAGGCCCCCTGCTCTTTACTATAGGGATTCATGATTTGATCAAAAATTTAAAGACTAATTTCCAATTAGACCTTAATTTATGGTATCTCGACGATGGCTCTTTTGGCGGTTCTTTATCCAATGTTATGTCGGCCATAGAGTACGTTGAAATGGAAGCTTCGAAAATTGGTCTTTCCCTAAATAGGAAAAAGTGTGAAATTTCCTCCCTCAACAATAAGGATTTTATTCCTCCCTTAGATTTTACAATCATTCCGCATGAGGAACTCTGTCTTTTAGGTTCCCCTATTGGTTTTTCAATCTCCTTTTGTCAAAAAACTTTTGAGGATTTGATCCATTCCCTTTCCAATCCACTCAAGAATCTTCCTCATCTCCCCAAACATCAGTTCTTCTTTCTCACCAAAAAATGTCTTTTTCTACCTAAATTCTTACATTTATTTAAATCTTCCCCCGTTTTCCAGTACAATACTCTCCTTAAGGTCTTCGAATTAAAATTTAAACATTTTATCGAATCCCTTTTAGGCTTAAATTTTTCCGATTTCAATTGGTCCCTCGCCTCTATGCCCGCTTACCAGGGTGGACTGGGATTGTTACCCCCCTTCCTTATGGCAATTGCGTGTTTTCTTTCATCTCGAATATCCTTCGCCGATTCTATTTCCTCGCTTATCGAGTTGGACGATCCCCTTCTATCTTCAGCTAAACAAGAGTGGCTTACTCTAATCACCCAAGGCTCCGAGCAGCCAATTTCCTGCCATCTAAAGAGCTTCCTGGTCCCTATGCTTCAATGCTCGTTTGAAAAACTTTGTATGTATCCTGAGCTAACTAACCTTCAACTGCTCAGAAACGCAAAAAAAAACTCTAACGGCCATGAATGGCTAGACGCGATTCCGAGTGGTAAAAAGGAAACGTTACTCACAGACGATGAGTTTCAAACTGCCATTGGCCATAGGCTTGGTTGCCTTATCCCTTCTGTGGACACCTGTGCCGCCTGTCACAAACAGGTTGATCCTTTCTCTAGACATTGTTTCTCGTGTCTCAAAGTCAGTGGCCGTTTCCTGAGGCACGACAACCTTAATAGGTTAATCGGCAAAGCCTTGATTTCGGCCGGTTTCCCCAATAGCTTGGAGCCATTGGGGCTCCTAAATGCTGACGGTAAGCGCCCTGACGGCATGTCTTTAACGTCTTGGCACGGCGGCAAAAGACTTGTCTGGGACGTCTCTTGTGTTACCTCCTTTCCGGCTAACGGAAATACCGACCCCTTGGAACTACAAGAAACCAATAAGTTTAATAAATATAGATTCCTCCCTAACTCTTTTATATTTATTCCCCTAATTTTTAGCGTCCTTGGAAACCCCGGTCCCCAATCACTAAAGTTCTTAAATCAATTGGGTAGAAGAATTTCGTTAAGGACAGGGGTCAAAAACGAGTCCCTATCTCTTAAACAAAAAGTCCAATTTGAAATCCTAAAGGGGAACTACAAATGTTTCTTCGAAACACTCCCATTTCCCTCCTAGTTTATCAAATATAGTCATTGTTAATTTTATATATATTTTGCATCGCAACTATATTTAGATTTTAACCACAAAAAAAAATATTTTTTCGTTATAATTAAACAGTTATGTTTTAATATATATATATATTTTTTTTCCGAGTATGTACTATATTTCTTTTTTATATATCATTAGATTCTTTATACTTACAAGATAATAAATTATATCTAATAATAAAAAAAAAAAAAAAAAAAATTAAAAATTACAAAAATATTATTTTATTTTCTTTTAATGAAAAACAAAGTATTGCATTTTAATGATGTTAGTAAACAAAAATTTAATTCTGCTAAAAAAAATTATTATCATAAACATCAAGTATATTATATTTTGAAAATTTTTTGAAAGAGTGCGGGAGGTTCTGCCTATAGAAAGAGATTCCTTATTGACTCATATTATTAAGCAATGTAAGTTTTAAAGTAAAACAGTTTCATTTTATTATAATAGGATAAAAGAGCCACTTGCATATTGATTATTACTCAATAGTATACATGGGTCTTCTTTAGGCTAGTCACATCATTCACAAATCACGATTTATCTTCGGGGAAAGGGAGAACAGTTTAAAATTCAATTTGAAAAAATAAACTATACAAAAAAATTTTGGAACACGAGCCCTCGACTAGAGCCCTGTTAAACCACTGAAACTTAAATTATTAGGTGCCAATAAAAGATTTGTTAATTAATAATAAAATTGATGGAACGCTATTATATTATTACCACATCTATAATTTGTTGCAAGGTTATTCCCAATATGACATAAAGTGTATCGTTTTCTCTCTCCACAGGTCTTTCGAGCGGTTCGTAATCTTGGAAGAGATCTTTTAACAATCTTTTCTCGTATTTGCCTCCCTGAGATACTTTAAAAAAAATAAATAAAAATAGAGATAACTATACAATATATATACACATTATCTTGGTTTAAATTGTACATGTTTTGATGACTAAAACCACTTTTGCAGAAAATTAATTTCCCTAATTTATTTAATATATTTTTCTAAATAAGTTTTACTATTATAGAGAGAGACTCGAAATTTAGTTTATCTCTCATAAATTTGGCAATCTGTTTACAACTTTAAAATTTATTCTAATTTTGTGGCAAGGGGTAAATTTGATCCATCACTGGGGTAAAAGCAGACACTTTTATAAGCTTTTTTTATATCATAAATTTTTTTTTATTTTATTATTATTGTTTGTATCATCTCACTATCTGAATATTTCATTAATATAAATATATATATACACACTTATATATATTCCATTATGACAAAAATGCTCTCTCAAAAGTCAGGAAAAAATAAAAACATATAAAAATATCTCATTGATAAATGTCAATTAAAAGATTTTTTTAATAAGATAGTTTTAAAAAAAGTTTTAATCTATCAATGAAGATATGGAAAGAACGTGACTTGAATACATAAGCAAGCTTAAAACAAACATATACAACTCATCTTATTTGTCTCATTAGTGAAAAACTTATTATAATGACACTTGAACCAAAAAATAATTAAAAGTATTTTGATAATATACAATTAATTTATGTTTTATTTTTTAAACATATTTTTGCGGAGAATAAATTTATAAAAAGAAGTCTTACGAATTTCTTGGATATTTCTTCCATTGAAATATTTTTTCCTTCAAATTTCCCAGTAAAATAAATATTTCTTCAGAAATATTTAAATTTTCACTCTCCTTATGAAATATTTTTATCCCCTCCTCTCCAGCCTAAAGCAACAGAGTTGGAAAAAAATCTTCAAAGATCTTTTGAAGTTTTTTTCCCAAAATTTAAAAAAAAAAACTTTTGAATATCATAAAATTTAAAGATTTTTTCAAAGCAGATGAAAATTTTCTTTTAATTTTTTGTGATTACATCATAAAACATTTTTTTAAGCATAAAAACGACAAAAGATTTATTTATAAAATAATTTTTATAAAAAAAGATTTAGAAAATTCGGTAAAATTTGATCAAAAATCCTGTTTAAGCATGCAGAAATTTTATGTTGTAAAAATCTCAGAGATTAAAATCTTCGGAGATTTTTTATGTTTGAATAAATGTGGAACTCTGCTGAAAAATATTAAATTTTTCAATAAAATAGGAACAATTACCTTTTTTTAAAATAATGCATAGTTTAGTTTATAATCATTTTCCCCTCCCAGCACACCTCCTATTCTAACCCATTTGTGGGGGAGGAAGGCTTACTCTGTAATTTAACATTCGAACTAAAATATTAACTTTTTAATTCCGATTTTCCAAATATAATAGGGAGAAATTATAATACTCCTATCTTATAGCTATCATTTTTTCTAATGGGTTTATTTCTTAAACAAATATAAATAAGTTATCCATATATTGAATATGCGATTTAAAAAAATATATTCTTTTTGAGAACATGTAAATTTTCTCTTTTATAATATATTAAATGATTTTATAAACTCTTGAAAGCATCTTTTTAAAATTCTTCAATTTTTCAGAAATAAAAAAAGAAAGGATTTTATTTTATGCGTCTGTAGCACTGCGTTGAAACACTCTTATCTAGCTTGCAATTTATTGACCGCACTCTATTCTCTTCCCTGCTCAATGGTACTGAACATGCGTTTCTCGAATACATTCATTCCAACAATCTTCATCAATTATCCAACAACGTACCCACGCCATTGGTATTCGTCTTAACTGCTCCATCACCCACCCTCACATGTGTAAAGTTAACTCATCTTGACTGGTATGGAACTATTGACCCCCTGGCCCTTTCTAACCAAGAAATACACAGAAATTTCAAATGATCATTGTTTTATTTTTATCATTTCAACCACACTTACCACCTTCACTTGCCCTAGCATTCTTCAAAAATTTGGGGTCATAAATCACCAAACTCAAAAAAACCTCGAGAGGGGTTTTTTTAGACAAAAGTTGGCCATAGCTAAGAAAAAGAACTACATTAACTTTAATGGTAGTCTACTACCCGAAGAGAACTATCTTAGACTCTTTCTACTTATTATTTTTTCCTCTCGTTTTATACCATCCCCGGTCTTTATTGTTATTTTTTAAATTTTTTGTACATATTGTATCCCATTTTAATATAGATTATAATTATGCGCTCATATATTTATATTTGTTTTTTAATAAAAAATAACTATTTATTTAAAGTGAAACACCTATTCTGAATAAATTTAAAATATTAATATTTTTGAACAAGAAATTTGTAAAACTACTTTAAAATAAAATTGTAATGAATATTTTTGGTTCGGGAAAACTTTTATGAGGTCAAAAATAGCCATTATCACGGCAATTTCAATTTTTTATGAAGAAAATTATGAATAAAAATGAACAAATTTTTAGTTCTCACAACAGCACATGCATTAGGCGAAATCTTCTCCAAAATGTCAGGAACAAAATGAAACACCTCTAAAAAGTGATCCATTTATTTCAATTTTATTTACGTTTGACTTTTGAAGCTCATCACCTACTTGTTTTGGTATTATGAAAATCTATAATTTCGGTCCTAAAATAAAAATTTGAGTTAAGTCTTAAAATGGCTCGGGCTTAAAAAAAAAAATAATTTTTGGCAGGATCAGGTGTCTAAAAATATGGAATTTGTAACTCTAAGCTAAAACCCCTTTCAAATATTCTCAATTATCCTAAAATTTCTACTAACGATTCCGATCAAGGTCTCTGTCTGGTAAGCGATACTTGTAAAGGCTAAAATTAATCAAGAACTATGTGAGATATTGTATGTCTCAGGATAGGCTCGCTGTACCCTAACCCTAATCTCAATTAAAAATGATATTACTACATCTATAGATTGCTCATATATTATATCAAGCTTGGAAAATATAAAGCACGGAAAAGAAAATTTTAACTATAATGTAAAATTATTAATAATATAGTACTTTGGTTGTTAATATCTCATGCCATTTAAATTTATATTGTATTTACAATTTAAAATTTTATTTTAAATTGAAGATATTTTTTTCTGTATTTTTTTTTATAGTTTAAAATAAAATATTTATAAACAAAACTTATATCTATATAAAATTTGATACTCTAAATGTTTAATAAATAAGCCCGCTAAAATATTTTTCCCCAGGCTTCCTAAAGTCTATACAGATTCCTGGTTTGCTAATATATTTGCTGATTTGCTATTACATCTGCGTTTTTACTATTAAAAATTCGCTTTTTTACTATTAGATTGCGCTTATTTGCTCTTTTACTCATTTAGGTGAAACGGCTATAAATAAACAAACTAGGCATATAGGCAAAATGGCCCTCGTCAAATACTTACAAGCACATCCCTGATGAATAATATTATTGACTTTAATAAAATGGTTGCCTGTTAAATTTTATAAATCCTGAAATTACATACCCTCGAGAGAGATGGGCCTAAAAAATAGATATAAAATGTAATTCAAATATTCAGGCCAAGACAATTTTAAGAAATAATCGGAATTGGGTAAGACTGGAAAATGTGATATATAATTTATAAGAAAACGTATTTTTTTTTAAACTTTGAAAAAGATTTTTTAATATATTTTTCCTTTAAAAAAATTTAATTTTAAAAGAGATGATTATTTTTTAAAAAAATAAATTCCCAATGGATTACTCTGGAAGAAAAAAAATATTAGATAGCAAAATATGATTAAACACAACCAAAAAAATATTAGATTTTCACAAAAATATTTTAATAATTTATTGACTTTTTTGAGTAAGGAAAAGATTATCAAATAAAGTCAAATTATTCGTATAAATAAAATGAGTATTAATTTGTCACACAAGTGGAAATAAAAAATGAAATTAACTTTTTAAGATATAAATTAATCAAAAAAAAATCGTATTTACATTATGATGAATTAAAAACTCATATATACATTATTATAAATATAATTATTTATTAAAAAGCGAGGCCATTTTTTAATTAAAATGTGTCGTGAAAAGTAAAAAAATATGAAATATTTAAATTTAAGGAAGGAAGGAGGGAGGGACGGAGGAAGGGAGGAAGGGACGGAGGAAGGGAGGAAGGAAGGAAGGAAGGAAGGAAGGAAGGAAGGAAGGAAGGAAGGAAGGAAGGAAGGAAGGAAGGAAGGAAGGAAGGAAGGAAGGAAGGAAGGAAGGAAGGAAGGAAGGAAGGAAGGAAGGAAGGAAGGAAGGAAGGAAGGAAGGAAGGAAGGAAGGAAGGAAGGAAGGAAGGAAGGAAGGAAGGGAGGAAGGGAGGGAGGGAGGGAGGGAGGGAGGGAGGGAGGGAGGGAGGGAGGAAATTTTGTAGAAAAATAAATTACATATATAGAAAAATAAAATAGAATTTATTAATTAATAACTCACATTTAATAATGAAAAGGAATAGGCTAAAAATATAATAAATTTTTCGTTCCATTCCTCTTTTTAGAATATAAAATATTGATTTTAATATAAATTCCTGGATGAGAGAAATACCGTGAGAAGAAAAAAAAATTAAAAATTTCATGCCTAAAAATATATTTTTTAACATTAGAAATAAGGTGAATTGAATTTATTTATAAAATATTAAAAAAATTCTTTTAGTTAAAAATTATAATTTGCCATCACATGACTGGTAAACTTTTTTAAATCAAGATATAATATTTTAATCTGAAAATATTGAAAAATAGATATGATAAACAAATATTTAAAATAATATTATAAGGAAACTTTTAAAAATATAATACAAGCATAATAGCAAGTTTGTAATTTTATATTGTGAAAATTAAATTACCGTTATGAAAAATTAGAAGTAGTTCAACTGTAATTTGTGGAAAATAAATGAATATATTTGAAGAGTGATTTGTTTCTCAGTTAGCTAATAATATTTAAGTTACCAATATATTTAAAAGATTTGAATAATATTTATATTCCCGATCCCGAAAAATATAAAGTAAGTATAATTATTAATCAAACTACGAGGTTTATTATGATACCATAACTTATTCGGGTGTTTTGATAATGAATAATATAATACCCTACCCAATCTATAAGGTTAATTCAAATATCTCTCATCCTCTAAAGAAAATTTTCTTGAATTTGAGCCTATCCGCTATTAAAACCAGCCAAAATGGGTCAACAGGTCAGATCATAATAATGATAAGTATCATTTTCATGATAGCAAAAAATTTTAATACAATTTCCTAATTATTTCATATTCATACCATGAAAACTATAATTAAAAAAAATATGTTTAGCAGTTCTCATGTTAAACGAGAACCTCATTATCATATAGATTTAATATTAAAAGATATATATTTCTTAATATAACATAATTTTCATGTTTTTTGAGAAAAAAAAATGGCTTTATTAATTTCATTTGTTTAATACTAAATTTTCTTTAACATAAATAGTAACAATATATGATTTATTTAATCACTTTACAAAAAAAAAAGTTTAAAGAAACTATTAAATTTGTTAGTAATAAGGATTGGTTGGTAGCGATATATTATATAATATAATGTCGAAATTCGAAATCTATCAATTAATTCTTTACTATAGAGACGATTATTAAATTAAAAAAAATTCGTCTTGCCATAATATATTCCAATATTTTTTAACTGAAAGTAAGTGGGGGAAATTTAGGATTAAATCACCAACGATCTTAAAATATTGAACGTAAAGAACAAAAATTACCAATATTTTTGGTTAATCCCAAAAAAGGACGCATTTTTAACAAAAAGGACGCATTTTTAACAAAAAGGACGCATTTTTAACAAAAAGGACGCATTTTTAACAAAAAATGCTATCAAAAGAAAATGACTTAACCAATTTCAATGAAATTTAAAAATAACAAAGTTTCTTACAAGAAATATATATCATTGAGATCGGTTAGGCCATTTGGCCGATCAATATATTTAAAATATGAGTAATAAAAAATCAACTTTATAAAATTATTCCATTTTTTTCGACTACGCCTTCCATTTTCTTGAATAACCTTTTAGATGACTTATCCTTTGTTTAATAATTGATGAATATAATCTTCTGATACGAAAGGCCAAATATCCCGAATCATTTGTTGCAGTAAGTCTAGAAACTGAAATGACTCTCTGATCCATGCCAGCTACCTAAATTTCTTTCATGCAAGGGTAATATAATAGATGGAGATGAGAATTTGGTGGCCATTCTAAATTGAGTAAATTATTACCCTTGGCATATTGTCTTATATAACAAATATCAAGTTTGACCCGCACAAATATGTTAGTTCACGAAAATGCTTAACATAAACGTTGGCGTTTACTTTTAAACATTAAAAAAAATCAATTTTACTAGACAACATAAATTTAAAAGAAAATGGAGATTATATATAGTAAAGTTGTAATAGATTAATGTTGCTCTTACATTAGGTCTCATCTAAAACTTGTTTAAAAATTTCAAAATTTTAAACACTTTCAAAAGTTCCAAAACTTTAGGGAAACTTAATGACAAAATTTTTAAAATTTCACAAATATGTTTTGGCCATTTCTATTTAAAGAACACCTAATTTCGTTTTTTTCAATTAATTTATGAAAGTTTTAAATTACATTTTTATGTTTTGGATACAGCCTTAATGAAATATCAAGTTTAAAAATAGCTAAAACCTAAAGTAATCAAATTTTAGAGATTTTATATATTTAGGCTATGTCCTAAACATCAAAAAGCTTAATTCAAAAACTTCCAAAACTTTATTGAAATACAGATAAAAAGGCTTTTTTATAATAGAAAAAAAGAATGGCCAAAACGTTGAAATTATTTATAAAGAATGCATCGTTTTTTTTTGTAAAAATTTTTGGTTTAATTATATTGTTATAGTTGCCAATAAAAATCTAGTAATAATTCTTGTGTGTTATTATTTTATATCTATGATTTTTGCTAAAGACTCTGCTACCTCCACGGTTAATACCAAAGCCAATGAAAAATCCATCGTCCTCAGTAAGGACTTCACCATGATGTTTGATCAAAACCTCTGAACTACAATCTATCCTATTCATCTCCTTCCATGCCACAACATACTACAAAATACAAAATGTCAAGAAAGGTTATTCCTATATGCTGATGAGACCTAAACCGGCCATAATAAAAATTATAATGATCTAAACACCACGTATTCAATATTTAATTAGGTTTACATCTTGAAGAGTTGACAAGATTATTTTCCCTATTATGACTGAGGTATCCCTGAACGAAGCTTTCGTCACATCCCAATTGTCACACATTTTTACATGTGTATTTATCTGTATAAAGCTTCATCTGACGGTCATTGATTATTAACAAATAAAATATGAATATTATCAGGCACATGATCTAATTTGCTTGGCCAACTAGCCGGTATTCAAACCAAACTGGGCCGTGAAAATCTCTACCTCAGATAATCCACAATTTTTTCCTCATATTATTTAGATAAATCGACCACACTAAACCCTTTTAGTGTTAAAGGGCCTTGTATTTTTAATGATTAATCAAAAATAGTTTTGAAAAAGAAGCTTATTATTAATTTGAAAGCTATTTTCGTTTAAAAAAAGGTAAATATTTTTAAATTAATACATCTTATCATATGTTATAATTTAAAAAAATGGAGCTTAAAAGAACAGATAACTTTATCTCTCCTTGGAAAATTTTTAAAAATTATTTTTTGGAATATTTATCATATAATCATTATTTAATATTGTTTATCTTTTTTTTGGTGAGAGTAGTAAATTAATTTCAAATTAAAATTTATCAGTGTCCTGAATTGCAAGGCTTGGCCCAAATTTGTAAAAAAAACTTTCGACTAAGCCCGGATTATTTTTCAAAATATTTTGGCCCGGGTTTTAAATTATCAAACTCGGTTTGATCCGGGTTTATTTTTAAAAAAAATTTTCAGACCCGACCCAGGGTTATTTAAAAAATTTTTTTAATGCCCACGTTTATAAAAAACAATCTCAGTTTAGATTTTAAAAAATATAGTACTGAAATTGGGTATGTTAGTATAAAAATTTATAATTTCACATAAAAATAATGATAATTAGTTGAATAATTTGTAAAATATTTTACCTTTATTTTATAAACTTGTTAACATTTATAACGATCCATAAAATGGTTATGAAATAAAAATTAGGAAATATGAGAAGTGGATGAATGTGATATACTATTCTACGATGCAACAATTTTTAACTATATTTTATTTATTTATTATTTTCAATTTTTATATACAATTTAAATAATAGTCGTCTATATATATAGCCCTATTCGACTAGGGTAATTCAAAAAAAAATTTTCAGCCAGACCCGGGTTTATTTATAATTTTCCTGACCCGTATATACGGGTCGGGCCGGTTTATTATTATAAAAAATTGATAAAAATAATAATTTATAAAGGAGAAAATGTTATTATAATAGGATGTCTATCAATTAGCTATAAATATCAGGCGCGTACGCATCGGGGGAAGGGCAGGTGGACAAATCCCCCTCCCCCCTAAGCCAAAAAATGCAAATACCGGATTATATCTTTCAAAAATATTATTGTTAATATTAATTTATATTTGTCAATATTTGTTCCTATCTCATATATATATTTAATCTACTAAGTTATTTTATCAATTAATTTCGATTTCAAGTTTTCCTTGGCGTAATTTACCTATTATTTTCAAATTTTAGTGGTGTATTATTTATCTAAATTTCTAGTCAAATAATAATTATCACTGAAACTCCTTGTCCAACAGAGAGAAAGAAATTGCAAGCTTGTCCAACGAGATCGAGTCTCCGCCATCAAGCAGTAACAGCTTTTATGGAGTTAGAAGAGCCGATTATTAATGCTATTACTGAAATATCATAATGGCTTGAAAGAAATATTTCCTCAGAAGCAAGAAAATTATTGGATTCAATACTTATTCCAAATTTTTTTTCTCATTAGAATGTATTATTTAATTATACAACTATTTTATGTAATATTTTTTAAAAACATGACATTGACTTGATTAAGAAGATGAGAATAGCGGAGAGCATTTTATTAGAGCTCAAGGAAATTAGAGCTAATGTTGATGAAGAATTTCTATTTTATATGTTATTGTTGAGTCAAAAGCAGAGCTATACGTGTTTAATATTTGTATCCCTATCGTCAAAACATTAATATAGGATCAGTAGAAGAGTATTATAAAACAAATGTCCCCTCTCTTAGATACATTTATAACCCAAATAAATGAATGGTTTTTAATTCATCATGCAGCACTTACAAATCAGCAGATATTACTTCCACAAAAGCCTTTCCAACCTTTTTCAGGTGGTGATAGAAAAAAAAAATATTTGTTAGATTATTATCATGAAGATGTTAAAATATCTTATTATGCCTTATTATCTGAATAACTATGATTAAAAGATTAACTATGGTTGATACAGTCCCAAAAAATGCTATAAATGCTTTGCATTATTTCAAACACATTTTAGATTATATTCCCAATGTATTAAAATGGTTATATATATTAGCAACTCTTCCCATTAATAAACTAATGAGAGAACATTTTTTTTAAGAAGAATAACAGAGCCCTGCAGAGGTACCACTTGCAGGGCACGGCCCAGATTTTTTTTTAAAAAAAATTTGGGCCCAGCCCGGGTATGTTTAAAAAATTAAAATAGGGTCCGGCTCGGTGCCGGGCCAACAAGTCTCTGAAAAACATACCTATGAAATACAACTTCTGAAAGTAGATTGAATGATTTGTATCTTTTGAATATTCATAGGCATTTAACGCCAAGCAAGGATAAATAATTGAAAAATTAGCTCAAAACATACAATACAATTATTCCTAAGAAACTTTTGTGTATTAATTTATATTTCCAACATTCAAATTTTTTATACTTTATATATTTTAAAGGCCCAAAAAATTCAAATTTCAATTTTGGGTTATTTAAGTGATTTATATCGTGGTTATATTCACTTTATATTTTATAATTCACATTAATTTTATAGTTTTTCAATGCCGGTTTATATATATAATTTTTTTGTAATTTACATTAATTTAAAATTGTGTATTAGAAAAGTTATTAGTCCTAATAAATTTATGCTTAGTGTTTTTAATTAACAATAATATTTCTTAAAAATTTTTATTACCCCCCCCCCCCCCCAGATTAAATTCCAGCGTACGCGCCTGATAAATATAATTTTACTTGTTCTGATGAGCAGTTGTATGTTCAAAAATATGGAACGGCCGATTTCGAGTTGCATTTTCTGGTAAATGCAAAACCCCTTAGAGAAGATATTTTCCCTCTAGATTTTTGTTTCTAATATGCGAATACCTCAAGTGCATTTTTCACGGAATGAAGTTAACATAAGGTACATTTTAACTGTTACTAATGACCGATACCATGATTATTAAGCTTTATAAATTGAAAAAATATTTTTTCAGTCTATATTAAGCTACATTTTTATTTAAAAAATATTCATGTATAAATTTCTAAACAGATAATAAAAAAAGGTAAGAATTGCTCTTTAACTTTTTTATTTGATTTTACATAAATTAATTTTCATAAATTAATTGATAAATTTATGTTTTTTTGTATTTTCTAAATATATATTCTCGTAAATGCAAAAGAAATCACCAATATTATTGTCTATGTAGATGATTTGCGGAAATGGGAAATACCCAACCCGAGTAAGTACATTTAAACAAATTCAGAGATACGCCTACTATTGCGGAAAGCTCATAAAATTAGGAATGGTTAAATAAAATATTAAAAGCTGAATTTATACATTTTGTATCAACATTCAAACAAAATGTAGCTAATGTTATGATCATTTTTTTGTCAAATTTTATTCCGAATCAAAATTAAATGAATATTGAAATTATAGGTTTATGTGAGTTAATGAAGTTATATTTTGGTTATATTTATTTTTAATAGATTGGAATATAAAATGACAATAATCGCTTGTAATTGGAATTTTGACCTTAATTTAATTCGGCCCTGGGTACACTTACATCTTAGAATAATGTCATTTATTTACATTCAGAAATGTTTTATTTTATATAATAAGATCTAACTTTGTTATATTATTTGACATGAAGATAACTAAACTGAAATATATTAATTAGTATTAAAATAATTATAATCATTGTATATTCATGAAATATATATATATATATATATAATTAAAATATTTTAAAATTATATAAGATTTAAAAGTTTTCTAAGAGCCCGACATGAATTTGTTAAACTTTTACTACATATTATTTATTCATTTCAAATAAAAAAATATAAGATAGCTATCCAAAAAATAGTTATACTTGTTTAAATTTAATTTAACTATTCGGAACATTTATTATAACCTAATAACCTGTATATAAATTATTATGCCGAAATAAAAAAATTTGCTATAACATGGGGTTTGATCTTACGACCTTGAAAAAGGATCTCTAATTTTGGCCCACTATACGCTAATCGGCATCTAAATTAATTAAACTTAGGTTTATACAAGCAAAAATTTGAATCGATTGTTGTTTCTGACATCCTTTTTAGATTTATTTTTATTTTTTTTAAACTAAAAAATTAAGGTCATCTTACAAATATTATTATAGCACTATTTATATAAATTAGTGTGCCTTTAGCCCGATCCTCGTTTAAAGCAAGGTTTGTTTTTCTAAATTATAGAACGTAATTAAAAAAATTATCTGTTATAATAATATTTAAAAATGTTGAAATTGGCTGCATTGTGTGCGATTTTTTACTTTGCCTTTTTGCAAAAGTCCGAAGCTAAAGGTAAAAAAAATAGCAATATTGATATATTTTTTAAAATTTTATTTTGTATAAGATTAGGTTTTTAGAAGTTTTCGTTTTTACATAACTACTCAAAGTTTAACCTCGTAAAAATCTTCATAATGCTCTCTTATTAAAATGATTTAAATTTAAGTGGTTTATTGTTTGAAAACAACGTTCATAAAATGTATCTGATTAAAAAAAGATTTTTGTTAATATATAAATTTTAGTACACGGTTTACTTTTAACATTAATTAAAACTAGAGGCATGGGAATCTTAATAAAGTAATAAATTTTCATAAAAATAGCTAATTTCTGAGTAAAAAAAATGGAAATTAAAAGATGAATAAACAGAGTTTGTTTCAAATTTATTCCTAAAGAGCACAAATATGGTTCAGTCACCACAGAGCTATTAACTCTATAATCTTGAGCATCAACCAAATCTTCTGGAACCCGTTAGGGAAATACCAGATGGGCTCACAAACATTCCTTGATTTAGAGGAAACACTATTTGAGTTTCATTTGTGTCTCCCAGTTTTCCTTTAATCCAAATGTCAAAAATTAGAAAGTACCACGACTTTTCAGATTTTTACTTTATCCCAATAAATATTTCTATCAATGTGCACATAAGCCTCCTGAGGCCATCATTTTTTTAAGATTTTAGGTTAAATTTTTATATCAAATTAATAGGGTTCAGGAATCCCTTTTAAAATGTTGCGCCGACGGCTTTGGTTAGGGTTTGTAAATTTTTGTTGAGGTAACTACCATGGTTCCCTAGGATGTCAATAAGGGCCTCTTTGCTTTTTCCTCCCCTTCTTATAAGATTTTTTTAAAAATTTGAATATAGTTTTCATACTTGTCATCTTTTATATACATGTTTATTTCACTTTTATTTTAATATTACATAATATATTATGTTATTTATAACATATTTTATAAAATTTAATAAATAAAATTTTTACCGATAAAAAAAAGGAAAAATATAATAACCATGTAATCTTACTAGGGTGACTATCAACTTGCTGAAATAGACATGTATCATGGATCTGCAATTTTATTTTATCATGATAAAATATTATTCATTTTCACAAAAATAATCGTTATCAGATGCATCTTTGTAATTAAAAAATTAAGCTTATATTATATGTTCATCATTTTTTAATTTTGTATTATCAATATGAGGACTAATATTAATAACAACATGAAAATCGTATTGAGGCACATTTAAAAACGGCTAACATTATTCTGTTTCATATTTTTGAGCATTCTTTCTATTTGTAACTTTAAATCTTCTATGCTCTAAAATGGTAGCGTAAGAGAAAGTTAGTAGCTTAACTTAACATAATTAATTCTCTGATTCATTTATATAATGGGTACAATACAAATTAAGGGTTTAACCGGCCCAAAAACAAAGGAACTTTTTCCAGTGCAAAGGGCTTTAACAACAGCACAAAACGATGTATTCATATTTTATATTTTATTTGGTGTTAAACGAAGGTTCTCCTTACATCAGTTATAACGAAACGTGCAATATAACTAGACCAGGATTTTACAACATTAAGAATATCCCATTCCACGGGCAAGTCCGTAAATTTAGGTTTTTAAAATAAATACTATATTATAAATGTCCATGACCTACAATTCGCACCCAATTTATGCAAATTTAATTAAGTGACAAACAGAATTAGAAGCTAATTTTAAATATATTATTTAAAAAATCAATTTTGGGTTAGGGTTAAGTAAATTATATATTTTAATTATATATAGAGCCTATTTATAATTTTTTTTTAAAAATTGTCTTTGGGTGGTATGAAACTATAGTTGTGGGTGGGTCATTATATGACAATTATAAATTCATTGCAAAACGATATTTTTTCCAAAATATTTTAAATAATTTTATAAAACTTTAATCAAACTAATCTAATCAAGTTTCTTTTTTATTTTATTATTTTCAATAAGTCTCAAATTCCTTACATTATTTCTTTGTAAATTTTATTTGTAGAGAAAGTGATATATTGGTATTATAAATGTGTGGCCGAGATATAAAAGTTTTTTTTCTCTAATTTTTTTTAAAGAAACTATCAGAAACGAATATTATGTAGATGCAAATTGCAAAGCAATTTAATAAGTTTGAATAATTAATAGCGTTGCAAGTCAAAGGCAAAAATTTGTTCCACACGCCTAAATGATAAAGGATTTCAAGTGATTAAAAATCGGATGTGAAGACATTACCTGGCTAGAAAATTACAATTAGGGATAATTTTTGAAGTATAGATCATTTTTGCAAAAGCCATAAATCCAGATTTTACATTTGTTGAATTAACTTAACCCCAGTTCAAGCTGAAAAATTATCAAATATTATTTTATATTTTAGAAAATATATACCAAGGTCTTATTTATTCTAGATTAAATTAACATTAGCTTTGAATTCTTTATTTTTGGAGAAATTGTATCTTTTAAGAGGTAAATCCTGTTAAATCAATTTTTTCTTTACTGTAATATAGGATATGAATGACGGGTAAAATTATATCAGCATTATATACCGTTAAATGTATTATAAATAATAATCTTAAACAGCTGATTTCACTATGTTACTCTTAGAAAATGGATGAGTTTCGGTTGCTTTTAGGTTTGTAAATTTAGATTCCTAAATTTCAATCAGGTTTAAAAATTATTATATTTTAAAAAAAAATTGATCAGTATTGTATTGGTCTCTATTTCTACTATATCCAATATCAACTTTTTAAATTATTTTCTAGCTATTAATTGGTTTGGACTTGGTTGGGCTTAAAATTTTAAAAAAATTGGTCGAGGCTTAAATGTTGAAATAAAATTTGGTAACGATAGTTTAATAGGTTTTTCCCACATGCGCATTAGATTAAATTTTAAGAATATAATGAACAAATATTTTTGCTAAAAGACTACTTTTTATTCTAATGCTTATAATTGCTTGTTTATTTATATATATTCATAATAACAAATTTAAAATTTTATTCTTTAGTATTCAATATAATTATTTTATTTGAATATATATATAAATAACAATAATTTTTCCTGTACACTAAGATTAACAAGTTTTTTAAATTAGTCTATCCCCTGTTCTTGGAATGCTATTTTATAAGCTTCTCCATTATCTTTCAATGGTCTGTGTGTGTATTGATGGGTGGGTCAGATCTTGTCACAAAATTTTCCAAATGATTGACCATGTAATGATCACAATTACACATATTCAATAAAATATGGCTATATAATATAAAATATAGTGCAATTAAACTTCTATTAGCCTTTCCAGCTACCTGTCATGATTGTATAATCTTCATGGAAATGTTTTTTTAATTCCCTAATAATGTCTATCTATCTATCCCGAGAGACAACTGCCTCAAAGAAACTTTGTTTTCTGCAGATTCCTCCAAAATTCCATATAGCTCTACTCGATAGAACTCTATCTCTATTATATCTTCTCCTAAATAGATGTGTCTCATCTATTTCTATAATTTCTCCTGGTCCACCAAGCTTAGAACTCTATCTCTATTATATCTTCGCCTAAATAGATGTGTCTCATCTATTTCTATAATTTCTCCTGGTCCACCAAGCTTATATACCATTTGTCTTCAAAAGCTTTTCCAAAAAGAAGGAAAAAAATAATGAAATTTATTTCATTTAAGATGATTAAATGATTTTTAATATACCATTTTGTTATAGTAGCTTGAGATAAGCTCAGCATAGGCTAGATATGCATTCTACTTTTGTTTATCTAGTTAAATATTATATCCTTAGTCTAATTAATTGATGGATTTTTATTTTAACGTTCAAATATTATTCTTAAATATTTGTAATTCATATATATAAATAAATCAAGCCATGATAAAAAGAGAATTTTTAAAAAATTTTTTTTTCAGAATGTAAAAATTGGCGAAGCGGGTAAAAATTCTCCAATAAAATTCTTATAATTTAATCTACTGCGTGTGGGGAAAGCTTATTAAACCATCGCCATACCTAAAATTGATATATTTTAAAATTTATGTAAGAAAGGCGCCAATATAGAATGATTAAAATCTTAATTGTGTTTAGTGTATAAATGTGAAACTGAGGAAAAAAATTAATTTCCAGATTTAAATAAATTCAGGCCGGGTGGATAAATAGCTTTTTGAGACAAATAAAAAAAAATCGTTTGGTATCGGACCGGACTTGACAAATATTTTTAAAAAGATTTTGGGCCATGCTCGAAAAATTAGGTCAGATGCATATCACTACTGTGAATTACAAATGGTACTTACTCATAGATCTCATTTTGATAAAAAATATATAATATCAATGATATAATATTATTATTATTCGAATATATTAATCTAATAAAATTTATATAAAATATCCATATATATAAAAAATATTTATTAAGAAAAAAGATATTAAAAACTATTATATAAAAAAAGGTAAAATAAAATCAGTAAGAGAGATAAATTATGAATTTGATCTCATAATAATTGCTATATCGTTGGACAACAACCAAATCCTTGATATTAAGTAAAATCGCTCATCTGGCTACAAAGGGTTTGGAGTTGCGAGTGGGTTATATATCTATAACTAATAGAGATGGAATAATTGGGAAGTTGTTAAAAGAGACTTTTTAAATATATCGGTATGCAGATAGATGGCCGAAAACAGTATCTAAATATATTTTCTGATACATGGTTAAAAATCATTCTAGATATCGATATGATTTTTTAAGATACATTTTTTTAAAATTATAATCATGTATAAGGTTTAAATAATGTCAAATTGAGAATCTATCTTTAAAATTCAAATTGTGAGGTGAATCAAACATTTTTTTTACTCAATTTGATATTTTATTTATATTAAATATAAAATTAAACTAATTATAAATTCGCATTGTTAGTTTAATTAATAACTCATTCTTAAAGCTTTTATCGCGGAGGCATCTCTATTTATCCGTCACACATAGTTAGCCATGTTAATAAGTTTTTCAACAGGTACGCTGTAAGGTTGTTTAGTGTTATACCTTATGAGTAACATCCTTTGAATTTAGTGAAATCAAGAGCGCGACACTCTTTTAAACATATTTATTCAAAGTTTCTATCCTTATCTTCCATATCATCTTTGGAGGGTGTTAAAAAAATATGATAATATATCTTTCAATTTTATTGCCTATTTCCTCTTTAGTAATAAGAAATTTGGAAGTTCCAACTAATCACTATGTCACACTATCACTAATATTAATCGACTATAAAAAAAAGACTACATTATTCTTACCATTTATCATATTTTCGTCATACACTTTTTTCTATAAAAAATAAAGTATTTTCAATAAAAAAGGAAAATTGTATCAAAATGAATCTATTAAATATATCTATAAATAGATATCAAATCGATACGGCTAAAATTTATCCTTTAATAAAATGTATCTATATAAAATACATATACACCATTTTTTCTATCTAAAAAGTCTAGCAACTCTACTAAATTGTTTTTTATTTCGCTAAAAATATATATATATATATATTGATTGTGAATGAAATAGTTTGCAATTGGTAACTGAATATTATTGGAAGATATTCACAGGCTCTAAGTAAAAAAAATTACGGCCTACCCCGAATATTTCTATTTTGGACCTTTGTCATTGTAATAAAAAAATACTTATTAATTAAATCTATTCTATTTATATAAGAATAATTAATGTTGACCAATCTTTATATACTACTAATTAATTTTAAGTTTGAATAAATCTCTTTTTTAAATAAAAATTTTTTATATTGTACTATATAATGAATTAACTATGAATGAAATATTAAAAAATAAAACCTGACTTGAAAGAGACCTACGCTAAATTTTAATTGAATTCCCCTGGTAAATATGAATAATGATTAAAAAAAATGACCGATAAAATCTTCAGCTCGTTAATACATTTTGAAAGAACATAAGCTGATGATAATAAACTTGATGTAAAACATTCATTCAAACGTGTCTATGTCAACAATTTTGAATTATTTAACTTGCCGATTTACATAAAAATATATTGAACAACTAGTTTTCGATAATTTAAGAGTTAAAATAGTCACCATATATTACTAAATATCATATTCGACTAAGGGATCTACCAATTGTTAAACGTGAAGATGGCAGCATATACATTTCCTATGGATCTGATTTTAAAATAAAAAGTATGGAGGAAAGGAATGTGGCTGATATTTTTTGCCTCAAAAAATTTAGCTCTCTCAACAAAGCCAATTATGTTTTAAATTATACCATAACCATGAATAATCCAGAGGTTAAAATATTTAAAATTTTAAATTTATAATTGCTTTTACTACTACCTTTCTGATACTTTTATTTCTTCTTTTCTTTTCTCTCCTCTCCTCTCCTCTCACCCCTCCCCTCCTATCCTCTCCTATCATTCTCTCATTCTCTTCACTATTCTCTTTCTCCATCTCCTACGCCTTCTTCTCTTTCTTTCTCCTTCTCTGTTTAAAATTAGAAAATAAGATCATTCATATTTTTCTCACTTAGATCCGGATAAGTATGGTGGCTAAAGAATACAATCCTCAAGAATCTAGCAATATCTTGATGATGAATATGATACATGGTGGAATCCGGATAAAATCATTTTATGGTGTCAAAGAAGTAATTCATGAATAAGTGAATAATTACCATTGATTGGTAGTTACCATTATAATAAAAACTTTTTTTGCAATCTTAGGGTAAATATATATCCTAGCGGATCTCTTTTTTAAATTAAGGGTGTCACATTTAGGTGGTTTATCATAGTGAAAAGGGATATTATTCTTTTAAAATAATATATTCGAAAAATATCAAAATATAATTTTTTGGGATAGCCATAGGGACTCAATTTTTAAGATGAGCCATAGCTACATATAGCGTTCTACCTTAATTGTGATCTTCATACCATATAAAATATATAATAAAGATGAATATAACTCAATATTTGGATCGTTTGGTGGTCGACACATTAAAACATGATAACTCAACCACCCATCAAGTATACATAAACACCTTCGTAACAACATTAGATCTTGAACTAACAATAAAAGTCCTAGATATGGCTGGATTTAGAAAAAACAAAATTTTGATCAGCAAGAAAATCAATTCTTGCCAATAGATTTGTTATACATATATATTCAACTCTATTATCACAATTCTATTATTTTCTCAGGTCTTAATTTATTTTATAATTTCTTTATATTTTAGATGATATTATACCTATAGACTTTAAATTATAACTTGGTATTGATATCGAACTGATTTTTCCCTATATGCTTTAATTATCATATTAATTATCTTGATATACGATATCTAAAAAATTTAATAATTATATTAATTGTGTTAAAATACGATATCTTAAATGGGTTAATAGATTACACTTACATATAAATGTATGGCATAATATACTCTGTCTATAAAATATGATACAAAGAATGATAAAATGCTCATTTGAGTTGTATAATGTACTCTTTAATTTTTACCTCCCATTTTTATTTTAAGGCCACTTCCAAATCTGATTTATTGCAATTTTTTCTACTAAACAAGTTTTTTTTCAAATGTAAAAATAGGATTTAGAATTTTTAATTTTAAATAATTAAGTCGGAAAAAGAAAGGATGCTCGGTGTTTAATACAGCATTTATACTATGCTGAAAACACGTTCAACAGGTGCAGATGAGAGGATGGTATATTATTCATAAATAATAATTATTTTTTTATGTAAAACAATCAAAGTTTTGTTTTTCATTATCAGAAAATTTAGAGTATAAATAATTTTAATTTATTCATATCTAGAACCTATTGACAGAAATCCGAGATAGCAAGGCGATTTTTTTTCTACCTTTTTCAGTAGTGTATCAACTCGCCGAAGTCCCCATTTAAATAAGTTCTTTCCTTATCCCACTTCTAATATATTATATATTTGTTAGTAGAAATTAAAATTAAATAAAAAATGTCGTTTAAAATTTTTATAATTCTAAAACGCTACTCATTTTTTTTATGAAGTTATAAAAAAAAATAAGCTGAATATCCTCAATTTTTTTTATAATTTGATCAAGTTGTTTTGAGAAAATTGAGATCGAAAATGTTAAAATTAGACAAAAAATTTCAGGATTCTAAAATAAAATTTCTTACAAAGGGACAAGATGGATTCTAAGTGACTATAGCAGGACTTGTCTTCTTCAAAACTTTTTGTTAATCATAATTTTTATCTAGTTTATAGAATACTTTCAATGGATCAAGAGCCCCACCGCCCAAAAATTTTTTTTTTACCTTTTATTATCCTGAAAATTTTTCAAATATCCATAAAAATTATTAAAATGAGAGAAATCAATATTTTTATCTTAGTTAATAATAAAATATAAAATGAAAATGAAAATGAAAATAAAAATAAAAATAAAAATAAAAATAAAAATAAAAATAAAATAAAAATAAAAATAAAAATAAAATAAAAATAAAAATAAAAATAAAAATAAAAATAAAAATAAAAATAAAAAAAAAATAAAAATAAAAATAAAAATAAAAATAAAAATAAAAATAAAAATAAAAATAAAAATAAAATAAAAATAAAAATAAAAATAAAAATAAAAATAAAAATAAAAATAATGCAAGTAAAAATAATAGAGAAGAATATTAAACGGCTGGATTTGAGCCGATTTTTAAAAACGGCTAACTCAATATTTTAGCCAGGAAAATATTGTCTAAGTCTCGAAATTTAGTTTAGATGTCCAAACCTTTATGTCATCCATGAGCAAAATCTTTAGGCTTGCATAATATTTTTCAAAATAAAGCATTGAATTAGCTGTTTTTAAAAATCGGCTCAAATCGAACCGTTTAGCAACACTAATTATATGCCATAAAGGCGCTATCTGGCAATAAAATATGAAAAAGGAAATAAATTCCTATTTTTAAATTTATAAATGTTTTAATTTTACAATAATAAAGATAAACGAGATTCAAATTTAACACTTTTCAAAATAAAATTTTTTTTGGGGGGTAAGGGCTCAGTTCTTCCACTGGAAAGAGGACTAAAATAGAAAATAAATTACTAGGCCTTAGCTCTTCGGGGGGGGCTCAGTTCTTCCACTGGAAAGGGGACTAAAATAGAAAATAAATTACTAGGACTTAGCTCTTCCCTCATATCCCCTGAAGATACAACTCTGATAGATTTTATTTCTGCCATTTACGATGATCAGACTCAATTCCATATTTCAAATCAGCTAATATTCGAGGGCCATGACTTCTCTAATTCTTTTTAAGGAGATTATTAATTCTTGAAATTTTTTAAATACCATTAATTGTTACTAACTTCTAAAGACGGTGCACCATGCACAAATGAGCCTTATATATCATTATTTCAGTTTTACTAATATTCAATGCAAAATAAGATTCATATTATAGGGGATTCTCCTATAGACTATTTATATTCATTTACAATTAAATATTTTATATACCTCATAAAGGTTTTTGTAAATATCATTTTAAAGAAATAAAGATTATACCACTATGCTTCTCCCCCCCCCCCCCTTTCCAATGAATGAAATATCTCATTATAAAAACAAATAAGTAAAAGATAATAATTTTTGAAATAATGACTACAATTAAAATTTAAAAAAAAAGATTTAAAACAAAAGAAAATTAACTGAAAGACGAATATTTTAAAAAAGTAACCCCTCCCCAAAGGCTTGAAGAGTCAAGCTTCTAGTGGCGTAGCTACGAGGGGGGGTCGTTGGACCCCCTCCCCCAGAGATTTTCTAGATTATACATTCAAAAGACTCAAAAGTGACTTTATAGCAAATAAATACCATGAATATTTATATTTTTCTGGTTTTGTGGAAGGATATTATATTACTATTGAAATTATTCTGGATAGTATTATTATAAAGTCATTGAGAATAATCTACTAACATATTGTTGATGCATTTAAAAAATATATTTATTATATATTATCGAAGATAAAGTTCCTCCAGAGCAAAAAAAAATTTGGATCATACTTTAAAAAATACTTTAATTCAAATAAATACCCCAACAAAATAATATTTTAAATAAAAAGTTTGTTGAATATAATTATGTACTTTAAAAATTTTCTGGTTATGATGTGGAAGAATTATATTACTTTTAAATATATATAAATTATTCTGAATATTATTATATTAAAGTCATTGATAATAATCTACTAAATTATAATAATATATTATTGATGCATTTAAAAAATATATTTTCAATAATTCTAGGACTTTTATATTATAAGAAAAAAAATATGATTTCGGGGTCTGGGGGCGAAGCCCCCCCCCCCAGGATTTTATATGTATGGATCCCCTCTAAGGAAAATTCTTAGCTACGCCACTGCAAGCTTCCTACACTAATAAAATTTATCAAGAGAAAAACCTTATCTCCCTATCCCCTACAGAAAATCCTAACTAAGCCGAAAGTATTTTAAAAAACATTTCGCAAACAATTGATATACTAATTCTAATAGATTTATCAATATATAGTGATAATTTGATTCATAGCTAGTAAAAGGGAAATGTTATTTTCAAAATTTTTAAGTTAGCAATGATAATTAGTATTGGAAACGATAAATAATAGCCAAATTTTTATACGTCAAAGAAAATTAGCCCAAAAATTGTCTCTATCTCGAGGCTGAGGCGAAAAAATTACATAACCTCACGATATTTTTAAAATAGTTTTTGCTCTAGGCGTAGCCAGGTCTTTGCTAATGGAGGGGGGGGGCACATTTATGGGGTCTTTCCCCTTAAATTTTGCGTAAGGACTATACTTGCTAATTGTGAGCCTTTTGCTCAATTACATTTTTTTAAAGATAATTTAATATTTTAATTTTTATCATTAAACTGAATTTTCGGAAAATTTGAATTATTATTTTTACAAATTAATAACTTGCAATTATTTCTCTTTAAAAAATTATTTTTTATCGTGATATAATATTGGGGAGGGGGGGGGGGGATTATATTAGTCTAAGATATATTTACGACAAAAGGGAATTTTCCGAAGGAAAGGGATGTCTTCATAATCCCCTTGGCTACATCTGTACCAGTGACCCCTAGACTTGGGTTATCATGTGAGCTACATTGTGTAGCATACATTTAAACATTTTGTCTATTCTATATGAATATAACAGGAAAATGCCCTTTAAAATATTAAAGAGATCTGATTATTAAAATAAATTCTAACTTTAATAATATATCTCACAAATCAAATTGATTGATTGTCTTTGCATCGAGAAAGTAAACCATTTTTATTTTAAACAGGAGACTAGATAGTGACTATGGATGCTAAAGCTCCCCCCCCCCTTCTCAAAATTAGCACCAATTTTGAAAAATGAATTATTATTTCATATTTTCAAATTGGCACCTAATTTTAAAATCGTAATTTTAGGGCTTATTTTAAATAAATAATATTTTCCTTATGGTATTAAATCATTTTATTTTTATATTTTCTTTCCGCTTGCCTAACAAAAACATGAGGAAAAATAATAATATATGGTATAAAATTTATTATATTTATTTTGCGCTGATTTTTAAATATATATAAAAAAACTGATATTTTAAAATAATTTTAATGTTTATTTTTAATTAATTCTTAACAAAAAAAAATGCAAAATCAAAGGACAAACTAGGAAATTCTTCTAATTTGTTGATAAAAAAAATATGAAAAATTTGGGGTTATTAAAAGATTTTTTATTGGTTGAAAGGGTAAATGTTAGTTCTACATTTGTGTTATAGTGCGTACAAATTGTGCGTTGCAACGTTGCGTTTCAAAACGCAAACAATGCATTTTAAATGCATTCGTTCAAATTGAACACATTTCCGTTTTTCATTTAAATTATTTTTTTCAAAACGTAAACCTGCTTGCGTTTTCAAATTTTTTTGAAGTGGAGAAATGAAAACACCATCAAAAATGTAAGAATATATATAATTAAATCATCATTTATTAATTATTTTAGATCATGGAATGAAGAAATAACAAAAAGATTTGCTGAAATGTTGGAACCTGAAGAGGTTATTTGGAATCAGGCGCATCCTGATCATAAGAAGACATTCTCTGTGATGGAAAAACTTTCCATCATAGGAATTAAGTTAAATAATATATAATATTATTAATAATTTTATTTTTAGATTATCAGAAGAGTTTCCAGATTATGATTGTAGCGTGAATTACCTAAGGAAACGCCTTAGGAACTTTAAGGATCAACTCAACAAGGATAAGTAAGCGAGACCTTCAGGATCTAGAGGAGGGGTGCATGAATATTAATTTCATGCAAGCCACGGTTGCTGACAGACCTACTGTCAGTAATTTTCAGGAATCCCCTCCTCAAACAAGGAACCCTGCTAAAAATCAAAATGATTTGCAAAAGCTTATGAGTGTATTGGAAAAAACATCTTCTAGTATCCAGTAATTCTTATTTTTATCTATAATTTATTTATCTTTTATATAGAATCTTTTTGGATAGCCTGGTTGATGTATTGAAAGGTTACGATTCTGATGAAGACTATTTTTTTCAAGACAGAAGTTTTAAAAACAATGCAAATTATCAAGATTAATAGAAGAAATACACAAACAACAGAAACATCTGAAACAGCTTTAGATATTTTTAATACTATATAATTTTGATATTTATATTTGTTATATTGTTAATTTTTGATATATTGTTATTAATAAAATTTTTATATAATTAGTAGTGAATAATTATGTGTTAACTTCTTCCTAAAATGTAATTTTAAAAATATAAATAGATTTTAATATATAGCAAAATATGATAAATATTTATGATTATATTTACTGGCTAAAGTCAAGGTTTCACTCAGTTTATTTTTATTATGATTGAGGGCAATTAAAAATATTTGCATTGTTGAGTTTAATATATATAAATCTAATCTACAACCTTCATTTTATTAATAAAATTTTTATATATTTAGTCTGTTTCATATGTAAATATAGGATAATAAGTAGTGGATAATTATGTGTTAACTTCTTCCTAAAATGTAATTTTAAAAATATAAATAAGATTTTAATATATAGCAAAACATGATTAATATTTGTAATTATATTAACTGGCTAAAGTCAAGGTTTCACTCTTATGATTGAGGGCAATTTAAAATATTTGTATTGTTAAGTTTAATATATATATAAATCTAATCTACAACCTTCATCCCCATTATTAATCCTCAACTTTGGATCCCACTTCATTTAATCTATTACAATTAACACTAAGCTTACAAATATATAACTAAACTTAAAATTATTTCATGATCAATACTTTATTCAAATTTTATTTAATATTAATAAATTTATTATAATAGTAATATAAATAAATTTATTATAATAGTAATATAAATAAAATTATTATAATAGTAATATAAATAAATTTATTATAATAGTAATATTAATAAATTTATTATAATATAAAAATTTAAGAATTTATCCCTAATGATTTTAGATTCCTGTGAGCTTGAGTTGTTTTCCCTGCTTACCAAAAATGGTCTTGTTGTAAGGTTAGCCAATGTAGGATCTGTATTGATGATAATATAATTTTAAAAATATATATAAATATGATTTTTATATATTTATTTAAATTTAAATATTGGTATTACCTATATCATCAATGGAAGCTGATCCTTCTTTGTTGATGATAATGTTATGTAGAATGCAAATAGCCTTTATCACTATCTCTATGCTAGGTAGTCCTATTTCTATTGGCTTACTTAGAATGTGATCCTTGAACTATAAGCTAGTTGTGCAAATGATACACCAGTTATTAAATACCTATTATATAAATAATTAATAAATTAAATTTATTTTACCTTAATGTAACAAACAAACGATCCTCAGCATCGATTTGTTTGTTACAGTTAGTAACTTTTGGATTAATATCCTCATATATGAAATATGAGCTCCAGTATATAAGAAAATGTCGCTCTTCTCATTCTTGTATAATTATAAAATTGCGAATTTGTTAAATCGCCTTTAATATTAATATATTCAGAAAAAAGATTTCTTTTAACAAATATTTTGGACGTCTTGCTCTTCTTCCTTCCTTTATTTCTTTGTAGTAAATACAAAGCAAGTAATTTTTTTTGTTTTAAATTTAAATAAAAAAATAAAAGTTAACGCATCAATTTATACATGGCTGCGTTTACGTTTTTTTATATGCGTTTTAAAACGCTGCGTTGCAACGCACAATTTGTACGCACTATTAGACATTTATTAAGCCGAAGCCTGGGCTCGTAAAGAGTTGTAGAACCTTTAAGAAAAATAAGCACCTTCCAGCACCCCTTTGTAAAGTAAACATCAATTAATCCAAATTTCACGATGCTAATGTTGACATTCATCAAAAATGACAAATAAAACTTACATGATTCGGAGGATTATATGTTCAGATTTTTTTTTAATTAAAAATGGATATTCGCAGTAAATTTCTCTATAATATAACTAATATAGTATTATTGAGAAAATAGAATTGACTATAATGATGCAGATCATGCTTTATACGAAAGAAAATGTGACATACGATTTAATAACCCTATCAAATCATTTAATGAGTGGTTTGGAGATGCCCAAAAATCAATTATAGAACCAAATTCAATGTGTCTTTCCACATGTACAAAGTTTAATTTTAAAAGTTGTTAGTAAAGTTCAAAACAGTTATTAAAAAGATATATTTGATTACAAGTTCAATTATAATTAAATATTTTTATTTATAATTAAAATAAAACAACTTCGTAAGAATTTGATAAAGAATAATTTGTTAATATTATGCTATTATTTAAAAAATATTGTTACATTTTTAATAACTATTTAATAGAGATGGTAGATCATCTTCCAGATTTGTGTTACTTAAAGGTATTGATCAAGAGACTGGTTTAAAATTTTTTACAAATTATGAAAGCTGGAAAGGAAAACAATTAGTTTAGTAAAAATTTTACATTTAATTTGTTTAATTATTTGTGGATGTTATTATATTATTACTTGATAGCATTCAAACATATGTCATATATTATTGACATTACACACTTTATAGAAATCAATATTGAAAGAATGAAATTTCTTAGAGCACTAATAATAAAATTTTAATATACTCATTTTAATTTTGTTTGTTTTTGTTCATGTGCTGGACAGTAAATCCCTTGAACATTCAAGGAAATTTTGTATAATGTCAACTCTTCCTGATTGTATTTATTTAAGTATTTCTTTAAGCATAAATTTTGATTTTGTCAATACTAAAAATTTTAATTTTATGATTTACTCCTAGACCAAAAGTATGTTTTATTGAATATTCAAGCTAGAGGTCTCTCATCAAAGTAGGTGGGCAAGTGAGCAGGTTAAAATTATGGGCAGGTGGGAAGGTTAAGAATATTTTAACTATGGGTGGGTGGGTGGCTTAAAAGATTTTTAACTTTTATTTGTTATTTATAATCATTTAAATTAACATTTAAAAAAATATGCTCCCTGAAATTTCAACATTTTTTTTACCAAAATACCTATAACTGTGGATGTTGTCATTGGAAGAAATTAATTAAGTAAAAAAATCTATCGAAGACATGTTGGTTGATTTGCATGGAAGAATTAACATCAACATGGATGAAAATCTGATTTTACCCATTTCCCCAAAGGCAAAGAGAATTCAAAGATTATCTGTCAAAATTAAACAAAAAATGGGAAGATCTGTTTGTTACGTAGAAGAGCCATTACCTAATGACATAACAAAATATTTAATTAAAATAGCTGGTTTTTATATAATTTAGCACAATCATAGCAATAGGTCTCCGTCTTGGTTGTAAAATACTGGCTAACCCCACATGTACATTATGTTCCCAACCCGTTGATTGTTTCGGACATCATCCTCTTCATTGCGATTCTCTAAAGGTAGACATTCTCGACACAGTGCAGTTAATGGCACCATTCTTGCTCTATGCTCAACTCAAATTCCTGCAACCCTTGAACCCTGTGGCCTCTCAACCAAGAATAATATACCCCCAGATGGGCTGACCTTAATACCTTAGAGTAATGGAACTCCATTAGCATGGTTTTGCTCCCTCATTTAGTAAAAACTCATTTTGGTGAGCGGAAAACTCTAAAATTAATAAATACACTTCCCTAACTAATTGCAATCTCATACCAATTGTATCTGACACAACTGGTTTTTTTGGCAATCATGCCCTAATCTTCTTCAAACTTGATAAAAAAATTTGTGCCATCACTGGTGACCCACAAGAAGGCTTCTATTCCACGGCTCCCTTTCTTGACCTCCTCCCACCCAACATTTGTTGCCTATTATAATGTTAGTGCTAAAAGGGAACTTGAATCTCAATTTTAAAAAAAATAGCAAGATTTAATGACTTTATATAATTGTGATTTACTAATATTATATTTTTTTACTATTATTATAACTTACCTTGATATAACGAAATTATAACAAATGGACATTATATTAAAGTTAAATATCAATTAATTAGTATAATAAAAGATAAAATATTTATTTATTATACTAAATTTTTTATTATACAGTTTTTATAGAGATTTTATTTTACAAATAGTTTACATGATATTTTTAATATATATTTTAAAATTACGTATATGGGTTATTCCATGTCAAATGAGCAAAAAAATCAAGATTTTCGGCCGACCCCTTTCAATTTCAATAAAAAGTTGTAGACTGGTTATATATGTCCCCATTAGATTATAAACAAAATTTTAGCGCATTAGCAACTATATTAGCAGAGATAATCGGGGTTAAAGGTCTAAAAAACGTCTTTTTTAGCTTTTTACTGATGTCAAATAATTAGTTTTTAATTTAAAACTAAATATGATCAAATATTGAATCTAATATCAATAGCTAAGTTAATAATTGATAATTATGGCTAAAACATCAAAATTAATTTTTGATAAAATGTGGGTCATCTTATGGTCAGTTGAAAACTTGAAATTAATATTTCGAATCCGATTTTTAATTTTTTTAAGAAATATTATCCGTTTACTATTTTTTTAATAATTTCTTCAACAATTAGCATGGCTGGATATTTATTAAAAAAAATATTGCGATTTTTATACTTTAAAAAATAGATGGCACTATATATAATAGTTTTAATATGTTAAAATTCATTTTTTTATTGATTAAAAATATTTTGATTTTATAACTTTGTAAACCTTATTCCCCTGAGATATTCGCAGGATAAAAAATTTTAATAATTTTTTTTAATATTTCAATGTAAATTAAAAATAATTAAAAAATCCGACTAGCACACGAACAAAAAAGCAGGATTAAAGGAGTGCAGGAAAATTATTAAGGGAAAAATCGAAAATCACATTAATTACCAGGCCTACCCCCAACCCTCCACCCCCCCCCCCAGACTAAGTCATACCCATCAAGATCAAGAATGTTATGAAATTGTCATTATCTTAAATTATTAAAATAACCAGAGAAAAAAAAAATTTCGAAGATTTTGAAAAATTTTTTAAGCAATAAAAATAAACAATATTATAGTTCTGATGAAATAAGCCGACTCATGCCTGGAATAAAAGATTGTGTATCTGTTAAAGGCGAGAAAGAATCAGTCCAAAAAAGACTTAAGCTTAAATAAATATTCAAGATGTTTAAGGAAGAATACCCAAATATATCAATTGGATTCTCTAAATTTGCCGAACTTAGACCAAAAAACTGTATTTTAGTTGGAGCTAGTGGCACACACACTGTTTGTGTCTGCGCCATTCATCAGAATGTGAAATTAATGACAAATGTAGAAAAAATTTAAAGATGGGGAATTTTTAACCAATCTAGATTATTCTGAGGATTATTCCTTCATTTTACAAGATGAAGTTCAGGGATTTCATTGGAACAACTTGCAGGCTACTATACATCCATTTGTAGCATATCATAAATCTGGAGAAGAATTAAAAAATATAAATTTTGTTATTTTATCCAAATTTAATTCTAAACCAGAAAAAATAATATATTTTTCAGATGAAGCCGCGTCTCAATACAAGAATCGCACAATTTTTCTGAACATATGTCTTCATAAATACGATTTTAATATTCCTGCCGAATGTCATTTCTTTGCCACTGCTCACGGCAAAAATGCATGTGACGGTATCGGAGGAACTGTCAAAAAATTAGTTGCCAGAGCTAGTCTTCAAAGGCCAAATAAAAATCAAATCCTAACCCCATTAGAATTATATAATTATGCTAAAGAAAATATTAATGGAATTCAATTTGAATATGTATCCAATCAAGAATATATCGAAGAGGAATTAGCCCTTCGTAAAGATTTAATGCACTGCTTATACATGGGACCCAAAAAATTCACGGGGTTATTCTCATTGATCAAAATAGACTAAAAACCAAAATATATTCTAATTCCAAAAAATATAATATAAAACAAGTTTCGTTTTTAAATGAGAAAATTAATTTTTAAAATATTAATATATATATAACATGTGTATATGATGATAAATTGTGGTTAGGATATATAATCGATAAAAATGATATAAATGAAAAAGTAAAAATCCGATTTTTACACCCTTGTGGACCTTCAGCCTCATTTAAATTTCCTCTGAAAGATGATATTTTAGTGTTGCCTAAATCACATATTCTCTCGCTGGTCAATCCTTCTACTCCCACCAGTCAAACATATATATTATCTCCTGAAGAAATCTCACAAGCTAGCCAGGCTTTGTATTCCTTTAGATGAAGTAAGATTTAATTAATTTATAAACTATTTTAATTAGGCTAAATTTGTGAAGATTTTAAAAATTTATGATCTGAATTACAAATAAATATATATAATGGACATTGTAATCGATTTAGTATGATATATAAATATTTTTAATCAATAAAAAAAATGAATTTTAACATATTAAAACTATTATATATAGCGCCATCTATTTTTTTAAAAGTATAAAAATCGCAATATTTTTTAAAATAAATATCCAGCCATGCTAATTGTTGAAGAAATTATTAAAAATATAGTAAACGGATAATATTTCTTAAAAAAATTAAAAATCGGAGATCATATACATTTCGAAATATTAATTTTAAGTTTTCAACTGACCATAAGATGACCCATATTTTATCAAAAATTAATTTTGATGTTTTCGCCATAATCATCAATTATTAACTTAGCTATTGATATTATATTTAATATTTGATCATATTTAGTTTAAAATTAAAAACTAGTTATTTAACCAGTAAAAAGCAAAAAAAGACGTTTTTTAGACCTTTAACCCCTAATATCTCCGCTAATATAGTTGCTAATCCGCTAAAATTTTGTTTATAATCTAATGGGAACATATATAACCAGCCTATGATTTTTCATCGAAATCGCGGCCGAAAAGTAAAACATTTGACATGGAATGACCTATATATGTTTTACTTTTAACTTTCAATTTGATTAATAAAAATTTTAATATAAAAAAAAAATAATTTATAAACAATTAATTTAAATTACTTTTTTTAATGGTTTAACTATAAACAATTAATTTAAATTACTTTTTTTAATGGTTCAACCTTTTATTTAAATATCTCACTTGAGTTGAGGATATACTTCAAATGGATATCTTACTTTGATAAATGACAAGGAAAAGATTTATCAAAACTATCAAGATTAGCTAGAAATATGCTGCACTAGTGCTTCTTCTCAATGAGGAATTAGCATTGCTGGAAGGTTTTTAGTATCAATATATATCAGTTTTCAAATATTTTTTTAAAATTCCTTATCAGTAATTTAAATTGAATATTTTTTATGCTTAATATAGCAATTTTCTAAATGTTAAAACTTTTTTGTAAGGATGCAGGGCTTAGACTAAATTATTATTTTATATTGATGCTTAAAAAATTGAAAAAAAATACTTTTTCTTTTCAAGCTGAGAGTGAACTAACTAGCAGCCAGCCTCTTCGCGGAAGCTGAGCAGATTTAATGAAAGCTGCCAGTAGAGCTATATATGCTAACATAAGAATAGGGTTGTTAGCTAAGGAGGTTTTATTATTAGTAATTATATCAACATTGGTAGAACTTTAGTAAAATATAGATAGAATAATTATAACATACGCAATTCGATTGATTCTTATAGTTATAATAGCTTTTATTATAGAAAAATGTTTGATAAAATATAATTAAGAGAAACGAAGTGAGTCCGAAACCATCTCACCCAAGGATGAGTACATTTTTTCAACTTTTTAAGCATCTAATATAAAATAATAATTTCATTTATAAATAGTAGGTGGTGGATAAAAATTTTTAGACTAATAGGCGAGGAGGCAGAGTAATGTTAGACCAAAGGGTGGACAGGTTAAATTTTTTGGATGGGTGGGCTTGTGGGCTAAAAAGTTGCCCATTGCAGACCTCTAATTCAAACCATAGGTCTGCAAAACTGGGCCTTCATTGGCCCTTTTAAAATTTTTACTCAATTGTCTAGCCCAGACTAAAAAAAAATTTTCTGGCCTGGCCTATTAAAGTTTTTTTTAATTTGACCAACCTTACCTGACTTATTTTAAATTTTTTTTACAAAAGTTTTAAATATATCGAAATATTAATATCCAGATTTTTGAGGCCATACCTGATATTATAATAATTTTCTGACCCAGCCTTAAAAAATTTATGCATAGGCACAAATATCCCATCAGGCTTGATATATTTTTGCCTGTTCTGGCCTGCTATAATTTTTTTTTAAACTTTCATGTCCCAGTCTGCTGGTTAGGTCTTTGGATGAGAGGGGCTTTGCAGATCTCTAATTCAGACACAAAACATTAAAAACAAAAAAAAACGATTTTGGTATTAGGGATAATAAAATATTGATATAACTATTATAAGGCAGAAAATAACCAAGCTAGTGCAGTGTTTTACTGGCAGCCTCTCCACCGTTCAGTTAGGTTTGAAGGGAGATGTATTAAATTGGATGCAGCGCAAAATGCTGAATATTTTTTGGAGCGTTGCAAAGGCAGCCAAATATCAGCCATAATAAGCAAACAGAGCCAACCTGTCAAGGATAGGGACACAATGGAAAATTTATGTTCTCAATACGAAAAAGAGATATCTGCAAGTAACAAGCTGCTTGAGTGCCCTAGCTATTGGTTAATTTTTTTTATAATCTTAAAAAGATAATTAAATGAAATACTTTGGAGACACACTGAAACAACCCTTGATTGAGAATAAGAATGAAAACTTTGTTTATAACAATCTTTCTTTAAGTGTCACTTTACCAGTCTTAGATTACAAACTATATCAATCTTCTTATTTGTACAAAATCTTATCAAAATTACATTTTTAGAAATAATTAATATTAATTGTTAGTTATTATGTCATTGCTAGTGGTATAATTATTTGAATTTCCCCCTTTATTTAATATCTAAAAAAATTCTTATGGTGTAAGAATGGCTAGAAATAAAGCTGAACATGCTAGAATCATTGGAAATAGGATTTGTAAAGGGGGATCTTTGAATATCTGAAAGATTACATTTTAGGGAAAAATTTTCTTTTATATTTTTCAAAATATTTGTAAAAGATTAATTGATTATATACATATTACAATTATTTATTTTTATAACAATTTTTTTCAAAATAAAATTTAATTTTTAAAGGGGTGGGTATGCTCTACAACCTGATAGGATAGAGTTTTGGCAAGGGCAAACCAACCGTCTCCATGACAGATTTTTGTTCCTCAAAGTCAATAATGAAATGGGAATTAGTCGAGAATTTGAAGAAAGTGACAATTTTAGGGAACTTAGCAATTTAACTTCCGACGGGCAATGGCGGTGTCAGCGATTATTTCCATAGCTTTTTTTAGAATCTATTATTATTTCATATTTTTTGATATTCTGTCCTAAATGTTTATTTTATTGATTAAACCACCTCATGTTGTGATGTTATAAAAATTAAAACTATTTAATTGGTTTAAATTTCTTAATAATTATTATAAGAAAACCAAATATTTTAACATTTATGAAGGATAATCGATTTATATATATTACCAAATTTAAAAAACAAAAAATATCTCCTTATTTATCAATAAGTATTATAAATAAAAATTTTCACTTTACTTTATGTGGAAATATTAGGAATTTTCTAAAACTTTATATAAGATAAACTAAAAACTATTTTAAGTTGTAAACATGTAATTTTGACATAAATATTCCCCTTATCATTTTTAATATCTAAACTGATATTATTGAAGCCTCGCTTGTATATTTTGAGGATTAAGCGTCCATCTCGTCCCCTCCCGTCTTTAATTTCAGGACGAGACGCGCTCACGTTCTTCCCCTTCCTAACTTTTCTAGTAAAATATAATTTTTTTGAATGATAATTTACTTTATTTTTATATTCATGCTTATACTAAATCTTTTTAAAGAAATATATAATAGCTTTTAATAATTCGAAAGAAAAATAGAATATATTAAACCATAATTTTTATTTTGTAAAAATATTTAGATAATGAGCATATTTTCATTTAATTGATTTATAAAAAGTTCATTTTTGAATTTAAGGGCGCTAAACTATTGATTTCTATAAGCTCATCAATAATTTCTTCTCTTCCATTAATAAGCTCGCAAAGATATTATAAAAAAATATATCAATAAGGATACTTTTTAAGATGCTAGGTAGTTAATTTTTAAGAAATTCAGTTTTTAAAAAAAATTAAACTAGATTTAAATTGTAAAAAAATTTAATCCGTCTTTTCAGTTATCTTTGAAAGACTCTGATCTTGCAGATAATTTGTACAAAATCTAATCTACGAGCCAGGTAAATAATTGCACCAGGCTGAAACACTCGTCAAAAATTTCCAAGCCAGTTGGGATCAGGTCGCATCTACCTTATATCAAATGAAACAACTCTGGAATTCTATTTCTAATCATGGAAAACCACTATGTTCAATATTTATATCCAGAAAGGAAAAAAAATATTTCCTTACTTTCAATATTAATTAATCAGGAAAGTCAATAGAATTATATAAACAAAATTACATTACTATCATTGTATGTGACATTTATATATCCAATTCCATCCATTTATTTTATATATAGATTAATCGCCATTTAAAATTTCGACCCGGCCCAGGTTTATGAAAAAAAATTTCCACTCATGCTGGATATTTAAAAAAAATTAGGGCCTGGCTCGTGTACCCAAGTCGAGCTTTGCGCTGGAACTGTAAGTCCTTTAAAATTAAGTTAAATTTTTTAAAGTCGCCCACCCCCACCCATTTTTAAATACACTAAAATAATATATAATACATTTTCACGTCCAAAACTTTGAGCAAAAATCTTCGAAGATTTTTTTAAAGCTGTTATCTAAATGCCAAAAATATAATCTGTAGAATTCGAAGTTTTTATTGAGGGGAAAATTTAATTAATAATTATTAAGATCAAGAATTGAGAATAGTAAATTAAAATATATAATTTGAATAATCATAAAATAAATAAAATTAAAAATCAAGATTATATATAATCAACGTAATCAAGAAATGAACGTTTTCGTATAATTTAATGTTAATTTTTATTTTTTCTATCAACTTTCCTATCATAAATCGATGGAGACTATATATTTCTAATGTTAAATTTTAAGAAAATTTATTGTACATCACGGGATTCGAACCTAATGACATAACGTTTTAAAGGCAAACGTTCTCCACTCAGCCACCTTCTATATTAAATTTTCCAGAGCTGTTAAATGATACTTTTTAAATGGATACAGATACATAGTCTAAAAAGTTATCTAGATACAGATAGAGTTACAGCTTCTAAAAAGTTATCTAGATACAGATACATATTTTATTATACTCTTAGATAAAGTTTGAATAAACCTAAATTAGGATTCTATTGTGAAAATTCGTGAAATTATCTAAATTTATTGACTTGATATCACATTTATCAAAATATAACTAAAATAATGATTTTTAGATATTAATATAATATATGATTAATATAAATAATTATTATATATGATTAATAAAATAATATAATATATGATTAAAAATAATTATTCGATTTCAGTAATAAAATATTTTCAAAATTTTGACATTAAGACATCCTCGTTTATCTGTAAAGGCATTTTTAGCTATTCTAAAAAGTCTTTCAACAGGGGCGCTGGAAGGGATTGTGGTGTTATATTTAAAATGAATAACATTTTTATTTCAGGATATTGTTAAAAAATACTAAAATCTCGGCATTCATTTTAAAAAAAAACTATTTAAAATTTGTTGATTATCAGAATTTAAATCATTAACATTCATATCTCCTGCTGTGGGATACTGAAAAAAATCGGATATTAAATTATTGGGTTTTTTTTCACAGGTTAATTTGCACTCATTTGAAGACTTTGATAATTCCTCAACTAATCTTTGTATTAGTTGTTTTTTTTTATTATTTCATCCATTTGCAACCATGTCCAATCTAGTTTAAAAAAAGGGATGAAGCATAGTTGCCAAAATATTTTCATCTTCAAAAATTGTCCCAATCTAGAATTATTAAATACTGATTAATTTATTATTATTTACCTATCTTTGATTCCTTTAAATAAGGCATTAAAGAGTGGTAAACAAAATTTCAGGTTCATTTGTTTAAAATTTTTCAATTTAATAATGAGCTGGGAAATAGTTGCACAGTAATAAGCTGTGAACATATATTTATCTCCCTGCAGGATATCAAGTGAACTTGCTACCGGCTTCATTAGCTAATTTGAAATAATACTGTATATATAAATATAAATTTTATTTATAACTTACTAAACAATATTCATGAATAAACACATTCATCAAATAAAAATTTAGGTAGTTTTATTCCATCGCAAATCTTGTCCAATTTTTCAAATTTAGTCTTAATAATTTCTGAGATTAATTATAAAGCATTATAAGTGGAGTTCCATCTAGTTATATTGGGACATATAAAATATTGGCCAATATTGTTTTTTATAATCTCAGCTGAATTTTGAGATTTATGTTGTCTATTCCATATATTTTGGCATTTAGACAATGTTGTGCTATATATCTAAGGAATAAAATATTATAATTATAGTTTTACCCTCTGATATTGTTTACACTGCAAGGCTCTATTTGCATCTGCAGTGGCAACAAGATTCAATGTGTGACTGGCACAACATTGATGATTAGGTAAAATATATGATTTTGATATTTCAAAATCCTGAGCAGTAGTATAAAGACCTGATATTGATATTGGTGCAACTGTTTCTTCATCTTCCAGATCAACAATGGATTCACTAATATTTTCAATTGGCTTGAAAACTCTATCATAAATAAGTAATATAATGTTTATATTTATAATAAAATAAACCTAAATGACTTGATAAAGTTTTTGGCATTATCAGTAATGGTCTTTGAGATTTTATTTTGTATGCAATAATCCTTTGCTATACCTTGTAAATTTTTTGCTATTTTATCATATGTATGACTACCAGTCATTCTTTTACAAGCCAACGCTACATTTTTTCTTTCCAAACTTGTTGGATCTATATAATGTGCTGTGACTCCTATATATGAACTAAAAATTAACATTTCTTAAAACTGCTCAAATAATTTGTTTGTAGTTAAATTATTATACAAATTTAAATGTTTAACAACGATAGGCACTCCAACAATCTGCTGTTGTGCATATTAACGATGGTTCTATTAGACTTTTAATGATTTCTTTCTTTTCATTCTCCCATCTTTGGGAAATTCTAGCAACAACTGTCTTCTGCAAATTATATTTTTTGTGGAGCTAATGTTTTGATAATTTTTATAAATGATGGATTTTCAACAACTGGAAATGGCTGTATGCTGTCAATTATAAAATCGGTTATTAAATCATCTAATATTGCTTGGGTTTGGGTTAAAATCTTAGTTCTCTCGAAAAATAAATCAATGGACGAAGAGCCTTGTCCATTATTTTCTTTAATATAAATTTTCTCCTTCTCCTTTTTTTATTTGGATTAGGAGTGTTGGATGTTTTCTCTTAAAATTTAAAATTGTAAACTATTTAGTATCTATACCCTTAAATGCTTACAATGTTACAAGTTGAGGTAATGCTAACAGAAATTTCTATATTTTTTGGTAAACATTTTAAAAACAGAGATTTGTTTTCTTTATTATTGTAATAAATTAATAAATGATTATTTATGTATATTGTATATTAAAAATAGAATCGAACATTCGAAAAACAATAAATAAAAATTTCATATCAAAAATAAATTGAAATATAAATTAGTAGTCGTATTGTTTATAATTAGTAGTTGGGATTACTACAAATGGCGACGATAAATGGAGAAAATAATTCCTTAAATGGAGATAATAATTCCTTAAATGGAGAAAATAATTCCTTAAATGGAGATTCAAAAAAAATAGCGGATTTATCTACGATTAAATTTGATAAATTCGAGTTGGATACTTCTATTCACAGATATTTTTCTCAATGGGAAGCCAGTTTTCGGTTAAAAAACGTAAGCCCATCTGAATGTCAATATAAAGATATATTTTTAACATTTTTTGGCAATAAGAATATTGAGTTGGTGGACCGTTTTTTGTTATCCTGATTCGATCGAAACTTTATCTTTTAAGGAAATTAAGTCAATATGTTTTAAACTATTTAAACCGACGTCAACAGCTTTTGCTTCTAGATTTGATTTCGTTAGATTACGGAGAACAACTGAAACCATAACTGAATTTGCAAATAAAATTAGAACAATTGGAAAGCGTTGTCATTATCTTAATGATATTGACGAGCGTTTACGTGATCAGTTTATGGTTGGCATGGAAATACCGGGAGTGGAAAGAGATCTTAGAGCTCTATATCCCGACGGTCTTGATAGAGATAATAATGTACTGACTTTTCAATTTATTCTTGATCTGGCATTAGCTTCTGAGCGAGCAGATAAAGAAATGGCAAATAAAAATATGCCAGTTGTTAATAAGATAAATGTTAATAACAAAAGAAATGATAATGATAATAATTATAAACATCCAATAAAAACGACGACTACAATTGATAAAGGCTATAATAAAGTCAAGTATAATAATACATTTGATAAAGAGAATAATAACTACAATAATAATAATGATAAAGATTATAATAAACTTAAATGTTATAAATGTGGTTTTATTCATAACCGAGAAGTGAGATGTCCAGCTACAAATGCGGCATGTAATAAATGTAAAAAAATTGGTCATTTTGCAGTTTGATGTAAATCAAAGAATTTAAACTATATAAGAGTGTCATCAAGTGATTCTATTCATAATATTTGGAAGATTCAACAAAATCGAGAGAATCGAGCAAAACTAACTGCAGAGATAAATGGGTTAGATGTTGAATTTGATTTTGACACTGGTGCACAAGCGTCATTGATAGGAATTGATATATGGACAAGTATTGGGCGACCAAAAATTAGGCCAACCAGTCCATTGACTGCATATGGTGATCATCCGTTAGACGTCAAGGGCGAGACCCAAGTCAATGTTAGGATTGGATCACAGACAAGGACTCTACCAGTGGTAATAATGAATACAACTGGGGTGCCTCTTTTCGGATTACCATGGATTATAGCATTCAATTTAGAAATGCCTCGTCAGGTTATGATTAAACAAGTACGCAATTTGGTCAACAATATTGAAAAAGAAAAATGTTGCATAACACTAGATTCTAGAATTCGAGATTTGATTAATAAACACCAAGAAATTTCGGAAGAGAATCAAGATTCTAAACATGCTTTGGATATTCGAAGTATTAATTTGGATGATATGCAATTGTCAGAAAATATTCTGCGAAAAGAGTCGAAGCAAGATTTAATATTAAAAAAAGTAGCAATACATATTCAGCAAAGTTGGCGAAACTTTGATCGTCATAAAGATAAAGAAATAGTTAATTTTTATAATCGACGGGAAGAGCTTTCTGTCAATCGTAATATTATAGAATGGAATGGGAGATTGGTTATTCCTAATAAATTAAGAAATGCAGTGTTAGGAATGATTCACTGGGGACATCCTGGGGAAAATGTAATGAAATCTATTTTTAGATTGTATTGTTGGTGGCCCAGATGTGATGTTGATATAGAAAATTTTATCAAAATATGTTCTGGATGCCAGAAAAATAGACCATGGTTAGAAGTTGATCTAATGCAGAATACCTCTGCTGATGCTATGATAAAACGACTAAATAAATGGTTTTCTAGGTTTGGAATACCCAAGTACAGTGTGTCAGACAAAGGACCACATTTCTTATCAGGGGAATTCCGTAGGTATTGTGATTTAAATAACATACGTCATATACGTTCGGCACCCTATCATCCAAAAACTAATGGATTAGCTGAACGTACAGTACGAACTTTGAAAGGTCGGTATTATGCAACGAGAGATTCAATTAGCGATCCCAAAGAAGCTATGACACAGGTTTTAACAACCTACCGATTGGGAGAGCATAGTTCCACAGGGAGATCTCCTGCTAAAATTATGTTTGGGAGGCAATTGAAAACAAGTCTGGATTGGATCCGACCAAATGCCGAACACGAAATAGTAAGGGCTAATGATAAACAAAGCCTTCATCATGATTTACATTCAAAGGAAAGAGAATTTGAAATCTCACAACCTATATGGTTAAATAATGAAAATACCAATGGTTGGAGAGAGGGAGTAATTAAAGAAAGAATAGGACTTTATTTTTATATTGTTGAATCTTCCGGGAAAACATTACGGAAGCATGCAGATCAGTTAAGAAATCGTTTAGTTATCCCAAATCATGAAAGTTCTTTGGAAGTTACAGAAATGGTTGTGCCAGTGAATGAAGCAAATACAAATACAAATACCACATTACGTTGCTCATCAAGAAACCATAAACCTACAAAGAGGTTTATTGAAGAAATCTAACTTTAAATTGTTTGAAGGAAATGTAATAAATTAATAAATGATTATTTATGTATATTGTATATTAAAAATAGAATCGAACATTCGAAAAACAATAAATAAAAATTTCATATCAAAAATAAATTGAAATATAAATTAGTAGTCGTATTGTTTATAATTAGTAGTTGGGATTACTACAATTATGAGATGTTATTTTAAAATATGGTCTATAAATTAGCCAGGATGGAATTATTTAGGATATTATATATTATAAAAATAATAATAATCATTAAATCATAATTTATTAAGCCTTTACATCTTGATTATTATAGCTACTTAACCCCTACTCATTTATTGCTTTCATATCTATTATTTTATAAAAAAATTTAATGGTATTAAATAAAGATTTAATTTCCGATTTTCTATGTGAAATGACTTAAAGTTTAAGGATTTCTATAAAATAATATTAAATGAACTAGATAAATTCTTCTCAAAAAAATGCTAAATAAAATTTACAATAAGGTATACTATAAAGCGATTTTTAAAAATATTTTACCCGAATTTCCCCTCTTCCATGTTTAGGTTGTGATAATATTTTTGATTGGATGAAGGTCTGGATAAGTAAAGTTTATTTAAAAAATGAAAATGAAAACCTTTAAATTATTTTTATATCAAGCTTTTATTTGCCATTGTTATCAAAAGGGACTCATTTTTAGATTTTTTATTTTAAATTTTTATAGTAGAAAATTGATAAAGCCTGGTTATCTTATTACAATAATACACATAAGTCCTTTGAGTTTAAAATATTAATTCGATCAAAAACAAAGTGGATAAAATTTTTGAATATATTCCTGGAGTAAATATTATTAATAGCAGTCCGTTTAAAAATAAATTTGAGCTGACTCTGCTCACTGATGTGCTCATTGAGCCTCTCAATTTAAGGTTGTATTTTACGACTCTAAATTGAGTTCAGCCTTGTAAAAATTTGACTTTTTAACAACTGAAGAGAATATGGATTATAGTGAGAGCAATGTGAGAGTAAGTAAAAATATATTTTTCGTACACACACTATATATATATTATCTAAAAATATAAATTAGAATACATATAAACGAAAAACAAAAAGTAATAATAGGTAAGGTTATAAAAATTAGATTATAAAAAAGTAAAAATATAAATTTGAATATATAACAACAACATTACAAAAAATGCCTTTCAGTTAATTCATATCATTTGTTAAATTGATAGGCTATCCAAATTTTTTTATAATGTTCAAGAATTAAATTAAGAATATAAATATTTATTTTATTTATTCCTACATTTCCTAAAACTCGTAATAGTATAAACGAAATATAAATACAAATAGATCTTCACTAATTTTATAGGTTTATAACACTAATGAGAAAAATCATTCATTAGCAAAATAATTATAAAGTAGCAAGGATATTAAATTATTTGAAAAATAAAAAAAAATATTTGGATTCACTGAATTTTTATTTATCGGATTCATATAATCTAAAATCCTTAATCCTCATAAATCATAAAGAAGGGCAAATTTTTTTTGCCTGTCAGGTTCATTCGTATTAGTGGGTGTGATATGTAGCAAATTATAAGCTAGTGCATGGTTTGGAATAAGTAAAGATAATGAAAATAAATTGATATATTTTAATAAAATTTGTTTATTATTTAGCAATGTGCTATATGATGACCGATGGTATACGGACCTATTTTTTGAGTACATTCGGATTAAAATTTTATCATAAAAAAATAAATAAAAATAGAATTGGAACGGGCTGGTGTAAGGTGGTGAGATGAATAATGGTATATTTTGTTAGGCAGATAAATTAGTTGATAATATTTAAATCAGTTAAAACCAGGATCTAGAAACCGACTCGCGGATAAAAAGACCGGTACAAAAGTTTACCCTGTACAATAAGACACTATACAAAATTACTACAATTTCCAAAATAATTTAAAAGCTTAAAATAGAATAATTATTTAAATCACTCATCTTTAAAGCATTTATTTGAATTTTAGTTTGGTTGTGAGTATTTTTATTAAGGAAATTCTTGTTAAACCTTTTATAAAATCCCAATTAACAATTGATGTTAATAATAATTTGAACATACTTACTTAATAAAATAAATTATTTAAATATTTATCGAATAAACGAATTATTCAAATAATTCGTCAAATATCCTTATTCATTTTTGTTTATTTAGAATTTATAAATTTAAATCAGAATTAATTCGTATTAGCATGCAATTTTAATCCTTTTAAAAATCAAATTAAAAATAATACTATCTTTTTATTTAAAAATAATAAAAATTGGATCAGTTGGGTGTTTTCCTATATGCCAATATACAACTCAATGATTAATTTCTCTAGAGATATGAGCTTGATAGGTTTATATATATCAAAAGATGTATGAATTGTCATAATAAAACTATTTAATTATTCCAATCTTCATTATTTAGTAAAACTATATTACAACTGGGAGTTAAGTAGCACTTCTGAAATATTTATTTACAGGTATAAATCATTATTCATTCATTTATTAAAACCACATTCAAACTTTACATACGCGAATTTTGCCATATAATACACACTTTACTTTACTTAGACGTTAGCGCGTTGGTCTATTTATGGGAATTTGCAATTTTAATCTTATATTAAATTTTATTGATAATCGGATAGTAATTCAAATCATAACAGTATGCAGACACCTACAAAAAAAATCAATTCAAATAATAGACTGTTTTCACCTGAAACGATGAATTCTACAAGCAGAAAGTTTGAAAATTCAATTAGCAATGCAATATCTAAATCTTTAATGCATAATAAAATTTTTAAATTTAATAAAAATGAAGGAAATTCATTAATTATTAACTCAAAAATTGATGCTATTATTAAAAATATTTCTGTTAAAATAATACCCTTAAGTGAAAATGTGGATACTAATTTTAAAATAATAAAAGTTGATGAAAAAGGAAGATATAAATTGATTCCTAAACTTAATAATCAATTTAAGCAAAAAAGTAAGAAGCATATTCAACAAAAAAGTATACCATCAAATAACTATTATAAAACTAAAATGGATCAAGCGAAACCTACTAAAAAGATTGAGAAATTAGTTAACCTTCCAAAAAATAGAAAAAATTTACAATCAAATTCATCAACCATAAAGGCAACTATTAAAAATGATACTAAAACAACGTCTAATACAACTACAAGTACAGTCAACAAAGTTACTCCCAAAATTAATATTAAAACCACTTCCACAAATTCCTCTCATCAAAATATATATTTTTACAATTCAGAACATTTATTTAGACCTAAAACAAATAGAAGATTAGAAAAAGAGAAAGCACTGATGATGGAATGCTTAGAAAAATATAGAAGAGGAGAATTTGATTCCCCACAAAGTTTAGAAAACACAGATAGTGATGATAATGAAGCCAATGGAGATGAAGGTATTTGTTATTGATCTTTTTATTATATAACTAAACACATCAATATACAATTATTTGACAAATTTTTTAATCAAAGGTGTTTATAAAGATGATAAATTTGATAGCTTAGCCTTCAAAAGAGTAAAAACTAATGATGGTGAACCTATACAAGGTAGAAGTGATGATGATAATACAAATTCTATGTCTTATAAACATAGTAAATATTTTACACCTAAGGTATGTGATTCATATTCTTATCCTAACTCCACATCAGTATCAGATAATATTTCATCTCTTAAAACTTCTAAGATCAACCTAAAAAAATCCTCAAAATATTTTTCAAGAGAATCAGACAATAAAAATAGCATAGATTTAGGATATTATAGTCTAGGTCAAAATGGTGTAAGTTCGAAACCCATTAAGTCAAAATTAGGCCAGAATGCCAAAGCTGACATGCAAGACTTAGATAAATCTTTTAGAAAATTTACCCCCTTGGAATTGCAATTTCTCAATATGAAAAATGAATGGCCAGATGCAATTCTGATGATTGAATGTGGATACCGCTATAGATTTTTTGGAGATGATGCCCAAGTATATAATATATAGCCTACATAAATTGTTAAATCATTTAATCATGGCAGAATGTTCATTATTTTATTTGATTGTAAAATTTAAACTTATTGACTGATATCTGATTTAAAAAGATGAGTTTAACCTATTTGATCAAATATTTAAAAAATTATTTTTTTTTCTAAAAATAGATGGCATCCAAATTACTAAACATTCAATGCAACCCAGACAAAAACTTTGTCACCTCTAGTGTACCTGCCCATAGACTATCAGCCCATCTTAAACGCTTGGTTCAAGCTGGACTTAAAGTAGCGGTTATTAATCAAAATGGTCATTCAAAATTGCTGGATTGCCCTGACAATTTTTACGATAGAAACTTATCCCACCTTTACACTAAATCTACCTTTCTTATCACCCCTCACTATGAAGAATATGCGTTATTTGGTAAAAATACAATCAGATTAATTCTTATAATATAGTGTATTAATATTATATTTAATATTGTTTGATAAAGTAATGAGAAATATGTTGTGTTAAAAAAAATAAAGCAAATTTATCTGTCATTTTATTTATGCCTTTCACCATTTTTGGTAGCTTATTAATTACTATATAATAATTTTCTTTGTGAGAGGAATAAGAGTATGAATCCTCTTTAATACATGGCAAATCTTTAAAAAAGCTAGAAGAAAGAGCATGGTTGATAATTTATAATTTATTTATTCTTGTCAAAGTCATAATTTTTAAATTTTATCTCTTGAATTTAAATTTTGATATAATAAAAATAGGATTTTCTCTAAATTTCTTCTTTTTTTGGATTCTTAGAATTAACTTTCAAGTATTTTTAAACTTTATCATTCTTCCAATCAAAAATGTTTATTTTTGAATAATTTTTGTTAATAAAATTTTCTTTCACCAATTGATTTTAAAAATATTTTACATTTTGTCAAATCAGAAAATTATACTTGCTATATTCAATACTTTTTTTGTTTTATTCTTTTAATAATAAAAACGCATTTCCTTAAGACAAAGTTGTTGATAATTCCATGAGCATCAAACAGGATCTTGAATATACGAATCCTCTAGAAGAGGAACTAGACATGCAAGATTCTCAAGATATCCCTGGGGCATTGGTCATTATGTATCAGGACAATGGTGGGAAGTCAAAAAAGGCACTATCCACATGGGATTCAACCATGACCCTGCCCATATTAGTTAATCCTTAAATTAGTATTTCAATTTATAATTAGTATTAATTATGAGTCATATTTAAGTCAAATATTCTCGAATTTTGATATATTAAAAACTGAAAATTTTTATTGATCGAAATGGATAAAATATAAACGTGTTAACCACCTTTGATATTTTTGAACATCATATGAATATGAATGCATGTTTCAATTCTAGAAATTTACTGTACACTTATGAATTCCGCCCTCCATAAAGCATCTAAATGATAAAAAATAATGTGTATTGTTTTGATAGCTGCTGATATTTAAAAAATAAAGAATATTCCTTAAATCCATTATTAATATGTTATGCTGACAGGCTGTCAAGTTCGGCACTGGCGAAATATCGTACAATGAAATTTCCGGAGAGCAACACTCTACAACCTTGAAAATGATCAGTCAATTAGAGCGCCTTATGACGTCATTAAAGCCCACAGAAATACTTTTGCCGGATGGGGCTAATTTGTGTGAAGAAGTGGAAAAAGTTGTGAAAGATGTGGTCAGGCAAAGGTATACATCTAACTCAGATTTTTATTTTATATAACCTCTAGAATGAGATAAAAGAATTATTTAAAGGAGAGAGAAAAATTAACGTAAAGAAATAAAAGATATAAAGGGATTAAATTTTCACGTTACGCTTTATCTGATATATTTGTGAAAAGATCAGGATACTAATAAAAATAGCTTAACCAGAAACTTTTATCATTTTTTATTTTAATTCAATCATACATTTAAAAAGGCATGTTTTTGTAAAAATATTTTTATTCTATCCTCAAACTTTCCAATTTTTCATATAATAATAATATTTAATATCTTTTAATTTTATAATAAATTGTTGTGATATCATAAAATAATTACTTCCTGATTCTGATGATGAAAATGATTATTATGTAAATGTGAAGTAAGTTTTATATAATTTTTGAAATCAATCTATATAAAATGATATTTTGGAAGTAAGCAATTTATTCATAAAATTTAACAGTTTTATATTGCCTAATAATAATTTTTGATTAATTAAATAAAGTTATGATATTTCCTTTCTTATTTAATAATATTCTATTAATTTAAATTATATATAAATTATAATTAAAAAACAAATTTTACATCCAAAAAAAAAATGTAAATCACAATATCAAAACAACTAGAATTCCATTTATTCGTCGGTCAGAGAAGATAAAGAATGTGGCTTAAATGCAATTTGTATAATAGATGTAAAAAAAACATTCAACAAGGCAAAAATATATTTCCAATTTCATAAATAAGGAATTATCAAATAATAAAAACAATAATTTATGTGATGACAATCCATCACACGATAAAACATTCGTTTAGTTATCATCTACTACATATAAATGCCTATACTCTTGATTCAAAAATAGCCAAAAGCATAAAATGTAGAAGAACTAAAGCCTCATAAATAGTGTTAAATATCCGACTAAGAGACATATGAAGGATTTGAAAAAATCATCCATTTTCTCTATTAATTGATGGATCAAATAATGGATATATTAATAAATTGCCAATAATGCTGCTCTATTTTAATGAAGAGAGAGGTGTTTCAAGTAAACTTATAAAAATTTTATCATGAGACTTAGAAAAATTTAAGGATGTTGCGTCTATGCTTGTGCAGAGCCTTGAAAATTGCAACCTTTCACTATTAAATGTTTTTGTGCCTATACGCAAGTGAGTGTTAATTTTAGAAAAATGCAAAGTGTAATGACCGAATTATTAGTTTTGAATTAAACTATTATTCCCATTGGTTTCCTGTGCCATACAATTCACAATGCAAGAAGAAAGGGGCAGGCTTAATTATCAATAGACAAAAATAATTTCTATGAAATGTTATGACGAATTCAGCAGATTCAAAAACAGGATATCTGTTTTAAAAATTTATGGATTCTCAGATATTTATTTATTAATATAGGGATGACTTTAAGCAATGTGGTTAAACAATTGCAATGGGGATGTTTTCATTAATGAATAAATCAGTTACGATTTTAAAGACCCAAGTTATCAATAACTTATGGCTCTATTGTAAGAAAAAATCTTAAAAACAATTATTTCATATTTAGAAAAAAATATGAATATAAAGTATTATGAAGCTAGATAATAAATTCTAATCGGTGGAATTTGAATTAATAATAATTAATTTTAATTTAAAAGATATCAAATTACATGAATTATTTTAGGAATTCGTTGCTTTAAATACATTTATAGAAAATAATAATATATCGAATTTGGCTCATAAAAATAAAAGGGTACTTTTTTCCAAAGAACATTGCGCCAAATTTTAAAAACATATGCAATATTATCACATTCAAACACTGATTCAGAGCGCATATTTAGTTTAATTAAAAATTTCTGGTGGAAAGATCGAATCGGTTATCTTTATCAGCTTAAAAATTTTGAACATTAACTGAGAATTTAATATATAAGAGTTCAAGGGGCAGACAGGAATTTACTAAACGGTAAAAGTATTTCATTTAAAATCAGGTATTTTACCGTAATCTGTAATTGAGGATTCGTATTTTTTTTAAAATATATATCTTTTTCATTAAACAAATTTTTACAATTTATTTGGCATTAAGCGTCAAAACGGGAGACCTGATCAGAGTGGAAAGGCTCAGTCCTTCTCAATTCGAAAAAGATGATGTGCTGGAATATCTGACCGTATCATTATTATCATGCAATAAATCAGGTTTTTTTTTAGTATGGATAAAAATAGTAATACTGTTTTTTAAATATTACCTCGTCGCAGCTCGACTGAATCGGATTAATTAAATCGTTCGTCTTAAGCATCTTAAATTAATCATCCATTTAAATTTAGCGAATTATTTGAGTTTTCAATGAATTATCTAAAAAAATTTAAGTAGCCTATTATAAATGAATAAGAATCAGGGGCGTCGCTAGCCTTTACAATCTCAGGGGGCTCAACTAAAAAATTTATGGGGGGGGGGCGAAGCCCCCAATACCCCCTTATAAGCTGGCCTTCAGCGCGCTTTTGCCCGGGCTTCGGCCGGGTTTAATATTACTATATTATACTTTTTTAAAATTAGCTAACTCTGAAAATTACTTCTGAATTTTGTATTTTGTCATTTATTATATTATGCATACAAAATAAACACATATAAATAAAACAATACAAGACATTTCTAGAAATAATATTTTTTAATACAAAATCTATTTCAGTATAAAATATTTTCGCTGATATAAAAAATTTGGCGTCTAAAGAATTACAATTGATAAAAAAGGTTGATTAATATATATGCCTCAATTGATAATGGTTTTTAAAAACCACATAAGGCTATAACTTACATTGACAAAAGGTCATGAAACTAATATAACTCTCTGTTACCATTTTAAACAATGTTTTATAGAATGGACTAATAAGAAAAAATTTATAGGCCTTACCAAATTAACAATTGTTGAAGAGAATATAAATGACCAATCCAAATCATAAAACTTTATGGTAGTTAGAGCTTCCTTTTAGATGACAAGATGGAAGCTAGATAAGTAATCGAGAAAATTAATGTGAGATATTAAATTTCTAAAAGATTATCTTCCATTTTTAATGATATATAAACGACTATACAGTTGACCATTATTGCATATCTAAAATATGCAATCATATGCACTCAGCAGCTATAGTAATAATCTTAAATTACATAGCCACACAAATTATAGATGCTGGTTAATTTACAGTCATATCCATGACACTCACGATGTTAACTCATATCAGAATTTAAAATGTTAGATAAATTGATAAAACAAAAACACTTAAAAATCTTTAGAAGAAATTAAGCAAATATATTGAAGCTTTGAGTTATTTACATGGTAAGAATGCCAAATTAGAAATGAATTATATAGAAGCTAAAAAATAAGAGTGATATGATGAAAGCAATTAAGATCTTATATATTATTGTATTGTCAATATATATCTCAAAAAAAAATTTATTATAAGTGCCATATCTTTAAGCTAATTTTAGAAATGATAAAAAAATTTATAAAATAAATATTAAACGATATATTTACTCGCTTATACTAATGCCTTAAATTACGTTTGATAATATAAATTATAAGGTTAAATTATCTGATAAAATAAGTTTTCTACGACGGTTAGTCATTGTTGCATATTCATTTATAATGTGATCTATAGGAATGTTATTAATAACATTTTTTTCAATGCTCAATAGAGCCAACGAATTTAATCGTTCCTGACCCATTGTCGATCGAATATATGTTTTCACCCGTTTTAAAGCTGAAAACGATCTTTCACATGAACAGGAATTAAAAGGTATAGTTAGCGCAATTTTATATACGAGGGAATATATCGATGGGTACGATTTTTATCAAATCTATTATCGATTTGCACATAGGTTCATGTGTTTTATTATAGGTTAAAATATAAATCTTTAATATTGCGTATTCTTTCATTGTATCAGGAAGATTATAATGTAAGATAAATGGTTTAATGATATCATTATTTAAAAATTGGGGGGAGGAGGGATGTAAAGCACTTATAGCTATTAATATATCTGTGTTTTCTTGACAAAATCTCTTTTTTAATTGATTTATCATAATGTCCAAAATTGGATAAAAGACATGACACTTATAAAAAGTTTCTGTTTGATCAGAATAATTAAAAGAAACAATATCATCTATTTGAATAGAATCATTTAAAATGGTAGAAGTATATTTGTTCTTTTATTTGTTTTTTTATATTATATAAATTGCAGAATTTATTTACTTGGGTAAATAATGAAGAAAAATAAGAATTATTTCTTAAATTTGACGAAGAAATGATAAGAGACTCGATAAGAGCCAATGCTGTTGATATGTCAGAATCTGATTTTTGTAAAAAAATAGAAATATTGGAACACATAGATAATAATTTTTGGAATATAAACATACACATAATTGTATCATATTGTAATAGAATATATAAAATTCCATTTGCTTTCACCATATCACCATGCTCTATATTTTCTAGATAATAAATAATTGCAGGGAAAGTGTTTTTTACTGCCTCTATTGTTCTAATATGGGATCCCCAACGTGTAGAACTCAAGGCATCAATATTTTTGGATTTTAGCCCTAATCTTAATTGTAAATCAAGAAATTTGTTATGATGGATAATAGATATTGGGAAAAAAGCATGAATAGATTCTAATACATTAAAAAACTTTCAAGACTGAGGCATGCTGAGATCAATACAAGATTGAGTTTATGTGCATAGCAGTGCACATATATAGCCATTTTGTGATTTTTGCGATATCTTTCCTGGACTCCTGAAAGATGCCCTTTCATAACACTGGCACCATCATAAGCTTGAGCAACGCAAATCGCATTTATAGAATTGTTATTTAAGGTTGATATCAATGTCTTTGTTAATGATTCTGCATCTAAGTCTACAACTTTTTCGAAAGATATAAAAGATTCCTTTGGTGTTTTTGTTTTATCAACATATCTAACACATATACTAAATTGTTCATATGAACTAACATCACGAGTGTCATCAGCCATGACAGCAAAATAACCTGCCTCCCTTATTTCTGAAGCTATGTACTTTAAGATTATGTTTCCCGCTGCAAATAGCATTTGATTTTGTGATGGAGGTGAGCAATAATGAGCATTGCCTGGTGGCTTATATGCCATTAAAAATGAATCAAACTCTTTCAAACAGTTTAATATTTCACAATAATTCCCTTGATTATTGCTTGTCTTACTTTCATGATGTCCTCTAAGGGGAAGTTCTAACTTACCACATAGTATTATAATTTTGAATAATCGTTTCAAATATTATCTTCTTTCCATTATTGCTGATTTAGTTAGAGCTACAAATTTTTCTTTAATGATCCCTTCTATTAGAGATTGTTTAAAATAGTTCCAGAGAATCACAATCGTTGCATGACCATTTGTTGCTCCGTGAGCTGTTAAGAATTCTTTTACCTTACAAAATTTTTGATAACCTATATCAAAGAGATAACCTTTTTGAGGTTGTGTGGGAAAATTACCACAAGGAAAACAAAAAATAGCGTTTCTGGTAATGCTATATTGTATCCAAGGAAAGGATTTGTACCACTGAGGTTGAAATCATCTTTATATGGATTACTGCTATCAGATTCCATGCCTATATAAAATTTTATATTTAATTATTAATACATCCTGAGATATCTATACATTGGATCTCACATATATCTACAGATTGACCCTCAGGTTTATCTTTTATTATTTTATAAATAAAATATCTGAGATTATATATTAATTAATTTACCTGTCTTTCTTTTAACCTTTTTGTTTTCACAATTTATATCTTTTAGAACCACAATTAATCGTCTTTCATTATCTAAGGTATAGTTTGAAATTAAAAAACTGTATTGGAACAAATTACTTTTGATGAAATACATTTTAAAATAAATCTTATTTAGATTGTTTGGTTAATGAAGAAAGAAGGCTTATTGATGAGAGGACTAATGTAGGGACAGTAGAAAAGAAAAAATAGGTAAATTAATTTATATTTAATATAAGATATATTTATAAAATAATAAAAGCTATACACATTGCTCAATCTAAAAGTGACAACCATACAAGTATTTTTTTCATTATAACAATATTTTTCTTCAAATATATAATATTTGCCATAATTTTCATAAAAAAAATATAATTTTAATTTATATATTAATATTTGTCACTTTTTTAGAAGAACTTATACAAGTATTATTTTTATTTTAACAATATTTTTCTTCAAATATATATTTGTCATAATTTAAAAGCAATGATATTTTAATTCATATATTAATATTTTTACTTTTTCAGAAGAGCTTGATCTGGGTACTAAAACAACTGGACCTATGCAACCAATATTAGGTGCATATCCTTATACTGGATTGGGGGAAGATAGAAGATGTTTTCAACCTCAGTGGTACAAATCCTTTCCTTGGATACAATATAGCATTACCAGAAACGCTATTTTTTGTTTTCCTTGTAATTTTCCAACACAACCTCAAAAAGGTTATCTCTTTGATATAGGTTATCAAAAATTTTGTAAGGCAAAAGAATTCTTAACAGCTCACGGAGCAACAAATGGTCATGCAACGATTGTGATTCTCTGGAACCATTTTAAACAATCTCTAATAGAAGGGATCATTAAAGAAAAATTTGTAGCTCTAACTAAATCAGCAATAATGGAAAGAAGATAATATTTGAAACGATTATTCAAAATTATAATACTATGTGGTAAGTTAGAACTTCCCCTTAGAGGACATCATGAAAGTAAGACAAGCAATAATCAAGGGAATTATTGTGAAATATTAAACTGTTTGAAAGAGTTTGATTCATTTTTAATGGCATATAAGCCACCAGGCAATGCTCATTATTGTTCACCTCCATCACAAAATCAAATGCTATCTGCAGCGGGAAACATAATCTTAAAGTACATAGCTTCAGAAATAAGGGAGGCAGGTTATTTTGCTGTCATGGCTGATGACACTCGTGATGTTAGTTCATATGAACAATTTAGTATATGTGTTAGATATGTTGATAAAACAAAAACACCAAAGGAATCTTTTATATCTTTCGAAAAAGTTGTAGACTTAGATGCAGAATCATTAACAAAGACATTGATATCAACCTTAAATAACAATTCTATAAATGCGATTTGCGTTGCTCAAGCTTATGATGGTGCCAGTGTTATGAAAGGGCATCTTTCAGGAGTCCAGGAAAGATATCGCAAAAATCACAAAATGGCTATATATGTGCACTGCTATGCACATAAACTCAATCTTGTATTGATCTCAGCATGCCTCAGTCTTGAAAGTTTTTTAATGTATTAGAATCTATTCATGCTTTTTTCCCAATATCTATTATCCATCATAACAAATTTCTTGATTTACAATTAAGATTAGGGCTAAAATCCAAAAATATTGATGCCTTGAGTTCTACACGTTGGGGATCCCATATTAGAACAATAGAGGCAGTAAAAAACACTTTCCCTGCAATTATTTATTATCTAGAAAATATAGAGCATGGTGATATGGTGAAAGCAAATGGAATTTTATATATTCTATTACAATATGATACAATTATGTGTATGTTTATATTCCAAAAATTATTATCTATGTGTTCCAATATTTCTATTTTTTTACAAAAATCAGATTCTGACATATCAACAGCATTGGCTCTTATCGAGTATCTTATCATTTCTTCGTCAAATTTAAGAAATAATTCTTATTTTTCTTCATTATTTACCCAAGTAAATAAATTTTGCAATTTATATAATATAAAAATAACAAATAAAAGAACAAATATACCTCTACCATTTTAAATGATTCTATTCAAATAGATGATATTGTTTCTCCTAATTATTCTGATCAAACAGAAACTTTTTATTTTATCCAATTTTGGATATTATGATAAATGAATTAAAAAAGAGATTTTGTCAAGAAAACACAGATATATTAATAGCTATAAGTGCTTTACATCCCTCCTCCCCCCAATTTTTAAATAATGATATCATTAAACCATTTATCTTACATTATAATCTTCCTGATACAATGAAAGAATACGCAATATTAAAGATTTATATTTTAACCTATAATAAAACACATGAACCTATGTGCAAATCGATAATAGATTTGATAAAAATCGTACCCATCGATATATTCCCTCGTATATAAAATTGCGCTAACTATACCTTTTAATTCCTGTTCATGTGAAAGATCGTTTTCAGCTTTAAAACGGGTGAAAACATATATTCGATCGACAATGGGTCAGGAACGATTAAATTCGTTGGCTCTATTGAGCATTGAAAAAAATGTTATTAATAACATTCCTATAGATCACATTATAAATGAATATGCAACAATGACTAACCGTCGTAGAAAACTTATTTTATCAGATAATTTAACCTTATAATTTATATTATCAAACGTAATTTAAGGCATTAGTATAAGCGAGTAAATATATCGTTTAATATTTATTTTATAAATTTTTTTATCATTTCTAAAATTAGCTTAAAGATATGGCACTTATAATAAATTTTTTTTTGAGATATATATTGACAATACAATAATATATAAGATCTTAATTGCTTTCATCATATCACTCTTATTTTTTAGCTTCTATATAATTCATTTCTAATTTGGCATTCTTACCATGTAAATAACTCAAAGCTTCAATATATTTGCTTAATTTCTTCTAAAGATTTTTAAGTGTTTTTGTTTTATCAATTTATCTAACATTTTAAATTCTGATATGAGTTAACATCGTGAGTGTCATGGATATGACTGTAAATTAACCAGCATCTATAATTTGTGTGGCTATGTAATTTAAGATTATTACTATAGCTGCTGAGTGCATATGATTGCATATTTTAGATATGCAATAATGGTCAACTGTATAGTCGTTTATATATCATTAAAAATGGAAGATAATCTTTTAGAAATTTAATATCTCACATTAATTTTCTCGATTACTTATCTAGCTTCCATCTTGTCATCTAAAAGGAAGCTCTAACTACCATAAAGTTTTATGATTTGGATTGGTCATTTATATTCTCTTCAACAATTGTTAATTTGGTAAGGCCTATAAATTTTTTCTTATTAGTCCATTCTATAAAACATTGTTTAAAATGGTAACAGAGAGTTATATTAGTTTCATGACCTTTTGTCAATGTAAGTTATAGCCTTATGTGGTTTTTAAAAACCATTATCAATTGAGGCATATATATTAATCAACCTTTTTTATCAATTGTAATTCTTTAGACGCCAAATTTTTTATATCAGCGAAAATATTTTATACTGAAATAGATTTTGTATTAAAAAATATTATTTCTAGAAATGTCTTGTATTGTTTTATTTATATGTGTTTATTTTGTATGCATAATATAATAAATGACAAAATACAAAATTCAGAAGTAATTTTCAGAGTTAGCTAATTTTAAAAAAGTATAATATAGTAATATTAAACCCGGCCGAAGGCCTGGCAAAAGCTGTTTTTTACATGAGTTCCCTTAGATTGTAAAGGCTAGAGACGCCCCTGGCATTTTTCCTTAAAATATAATACTCTTTATGAAAATAAAAATTATAAAACCTATTTACTTATATTTTGAGCATACAATCTTCCTAAAGTGTGCATTTTTTTTGGGCCCCATGTTAAAATTTGTGCTTTGACATCATTGATAAACTACATTATATCAAAAACACTGTACGAAAAACATTATTGCGAAATTTAGTTCTAACTTGGACACTTTTAATTAATACGAAATTCATAACTAATTTAATCGACCAGGATGAGGTGTAAGAATAGTAATTTCGAGTACCATAATTTGAACAAACTGGGATCAATTAAGAGTTTTCAATAATTAATCAATAAATAAATGTTCCATCTCAGAGTCATGCAAAACCGGTTCTAAACTACGATTTAAAAAAAAAATTATTAAAGAACTATTGTTTTATCGGGTCAATTTTGAACCGCTCCTTAACCTACAAAGAAAAGAAAGGCCCTTATACTTTAGGTCAAAATTTTTTTAACACGTACATTGTTTTTTGTTATAAAGAAAACATTGGATTACTTACCAAAAACGATCGCTTGCTTCGACGAGCAACATTGCATTCCGTCCTCGTTAGGTATTTGAAAACGGGGTTTTTTAGTGAGCGCGCCATAAACGCGCTGCTTCCTCTGGATCAGATGATTTTATCGATGCGTGACGAGCCGAATAGCAAGATGGCGACCGACGGAAATCTGCTGGAACATTCTGCGAGTCTTTACTCGCATCTGTTTACGGGAAAGGATGGTAGAGGTTTCATAGTTTTCATATTATGATTAATAATTTTTTTATATGAGTATAATAAATATATCCAAGATATAATTTTCCTCACTTAATCATAGTTAATATGTTTCAATCGCTGCCTTTATAATTCAATAATATATATTCAGCCTCTCCTAAGACTCCACAGGGAAGAAGAAAATTGCTAAAGTGGATCGAGGAACCTTTGACTAACCTCAACAATATAGAAGGCAGACTGGACACCGTGGGAGAATTGCTTGGACTTGTTAATGTGAGTACTGTTTTTTTTACTATATCAGCTTTTAAATTTATATCTTTTTGTCAATAAGCCTCAGCTTTTAAATTTATATCTTTTTGTCAATAAGCCTCAGCTTTTAGATTTATATCTTTTTGTCAATAAGCCCATAGGTAACATAATAAAATTTATTAATGTTTAGATAATGTTACATTACATATTAATATATTTTTTTAGAATTATTCAATAAATTATTTTAAAGTTCATATTTATATGACGTAAAAATTGATGATATGTTTGATATATTCTTCTCTAAAAAAATGTTAAATGATATTTCATTATTAATAAAAGTTATAAAAATAAGTTGCTATGTAGTATAGTATGTTATTATTTATAATTTTTTTTTTAATGTTAGTGCTATTGATTTTAAGAATTTGTATACCATTATAAATTTTCAAAAAAATAATGGACTCTATCGTTTTTCACGGACTTCTGCACCCTCTAATTTTAATGACGATATTAAATTATCCCCCCCCCCCTTGCTGGAGTCTTTGCCGGTTCTTCAAAATAAAAATGGTTATAAGCCTATAACGAATTATTTGTTATTCAATTCGTATTTTACGAATAAATCGCAAATTATTCGATTCGAAAATTCGAATATGAATAATGAGAAAAGGTATTCTTCAAATTGTAAACTTTTTATTATTCGATTCGAATTAGTCGAAATTATTCGTAATATCCTAAATTATTTATAATGGAATTCTTTGAACAATTACCTACCTCATGTAACATAAATACAATTAGAAAAATTTATGAAATATACAAAGATAAATATAATATTAATGCATCATCTGGTAAAACAAGAGTCCAGTCAAACATGAATAAAATTTCATCTCAGCAATATGCGAAGTTGAAACATATCTTAATGAATTAAGAATCGCTTCTAATAAGAGCCCAATGGTGGAGATTGCTTGGGAATCATTTTCTTATGTTGTCGAAAATGGCAACTGATATATTGTCCATTCAAGGATCCTTCATGTGAGCGGTTATTCTCAGTAGAGATAAATATGATAATGAAGAATAGAATGTCTTTGAAGGTAGAAACCATTAGAAAGACTTTATGCCCGAAAAACTGATTGTTGTCAAATTCGGTTCTAGCATAATTATATTTTTTATGTATTTTATTTTTATGTTTACTAAATGAGATAATTGTGCATTTTTAGAAAATTTTAATAAAATTTGAGAAAATTCGATCGAAGAAATAACGTATAGAAAAGAATTTAGATATTTTTATAAGCAATTCTAATTCTAAAAATCGGTTTTTGGCTAATTATTGGATAAAGTTATGAAAATATTGAATTTTATTTCGTTTGTTATCTTCTATAAATTTTATTATGCTAATGACAATTATTTTAGTAGAATCCTTAAAAGTGCTATTTTAATCATCCACAGGAAATTTTTCGAATCTAATTGAATAGAAGAATCGAATCGAATAATGATTTTATTATATTATGAATTATTCGATTACCCCCCCCCCCTCTTCCCATCCATGACTCAAACCCGAGAACATAGATTAATAAAATTCAACAATTTATTTGTTTAACTTCAATTTGAAATAAAATACTTTAATGGCAAAAATTTCTGAACGATTGAATTTCTGATGGGAAATTCAATAAAAAAAATTATGAGATAATAAAAATTTTTACCTTGCAAAATCGTCTTTTATTTTAAGAAAAATATCTGTAATCGGTATAAATCCTTAGCTGTAAGTATTCTTTAATTCTGAGCAATTAAGTAAAAAAAATTCTTGGCGTTTCCGTTTTTATTTTGTGCGAAATAATAAAATTCATAATTTTTCTCTAAACTTATAACTAATTTTGTAAATATCAGACACGAATATTTCGGTTTTATTTAATGAATTATAATAATAATTAAACATAAGAATTAAGATAATCGTCAATATAAAATTTTGTCCTTTTTATAGGAAAAATAAAAGGCTCAATATAAAATATAAATTGGTTCTAAAGTTTAAAAAAAAACAACATCTAATGATTTCTCAGTTGTATTAGTTTTATCCGAGACAATTTCTTCTAAAACTAAATTATATCCCGCGATTCCGATTGCTCTAGCATTTGCTGACTATAACAGCTTCGTACAAAATGAAGAAAACCCAAAATCATATACTAAAGTGCACTTTACACATAAATTGTTTGGCATGAAAATAAAATGGATATTAAATAAAAAAAAATATACCCCCAAGGGTGAAATGGAAATAATAGCAGTAATCGATACTAGTGTTGTTCAACGGCTTGATTTTACGGCGAAAATATTTTAGCCAAAAATATTACGCAGCCTGGAGATTTTGCTCATAGATGGTAGAAAGATTTAGACATCTATTAACGAAATCTCGAGGTTTGCATAACATTTCCTGGCTAAAATATTGGGTTAGCCGTTTTCAAAAATCGAACCGTTTAACAACACTAGATACGATGGGATAATTTTTTTTTAAATATTAGAAACTTATGTAGGCTATTAAAGCTAATCAAATCTCTCACAATGTATATGAAAATATACCAAAAATGTAAAGAATAAAATATTTAAAAATGTAGCAGCTACATTTTTTCAGGTGGGCCAGCTTACACTACATGCTTACTATATCCTGCCTATCCTTCATTGTTTTTACACCCAAGAGCATAGGCATAGTCAGGATTTTGCTGGGGGGGGGGTCTATTTAGATAGGTTTTCCCCCAAAAAATGTTGTTACAGGTGTTTAGAGGTTTTTGGCTATATTCGATTTTTATAAAAATTTTGGGTTTTCACTTTCTTTTCATAATTTTTTTTTAATGATAACCGTTAATTTAAAGAGTTGTTAACTTTTATTAATTTTTCCTTTAAATTCTTCTTTATACTGATATATTATATATATTTTTAGGGGAGAGGGGGTGGGGAGTTTGTAGGGGAAATTGTTTATTGGTTCGGGAGATTTCTCACTCCCACCCATTTTGCGCGCCTGCAAAGAAAATGTTATTTTTTAATAGATTTATCATGCCACTACGATGATATTTTGCCGATTGAAAATAAAATAATAATGCACAGGATTCTTCCCAAGATTCGTTACTCACCCTGAGCCTGCTAAATTCCATCCTCTCTTCTAATAATTCTGGAACAGATCTCCAAAAAGTTATTAGTCTTGTCAAGTATGAGCTCTGCAAACCTTCTCACATGGCTAACATCTTCGCGTTTTGCACAAAATTGGACAGGGTTTTCAAAAAATATCGACCTAATGACGTGGGTGAAGATAGCAAATTACGTTATATTTTCAAGAGCAGGGAACTGGAAGAAAACCTCAGAGATATCTCAAAGATAACAGCGAGAGTGAATGACGAACTGCAGAAGGATTTTCTTAGAACTGGATTGGTGAATATCGAAGCCTTAAGGTTTTAAATATGTCTTTTTTATTCTTCTTCCCTATACTTAAGTCTTTATTCTTATGCGCCTGAATGGAAATTTTAAAAGAAGACTACCCACGTCATAACGATCTTCTCCACATTTTCTTTATTTCTTTAAAGAAGGAAAGGGATTTTGAATGGTGACATATTGTTTTAAATCTTGAAACATGTCATAATCGAAAAAATATGCATTAAAAAATTATATTAATCGCAATCATTTTAACGACGAAAAGGATTTGATTTAATATCAATATATTGGTTTATAACTTATTACAAAATACTGCATAATAAACAAGATATTTTTTTTAACAAATTTAGGCAAAACAATATAGAGAACATTTTCAACAACCCCAATGAAGAGAATTACTCCTTCAATTCTTCTTCTCTTGTCGATTTCTCTAGCGCGTCAACGCTGAACGCACTCGTTCAAAGTGTTCCTGAATTAACACGATTAAGATACGCTAAGCTTGACATTATGGACTCCCTGGAGACTCACCTGCATAACCTGACTGCTGTCACAAACCCGCAAATTGAAATCGTTCGAAATTTCTCCGTTTATCACGAAGGTTACAAACGGATAGGCGAGAATTTCAAAGCCAAAAAGACTGGCATGGGCACTTGCTTGCGAGTTAGTAACGATGACGTTATTGCCGGAACCGTTAAAATACCTCTCGAGTGGATCAGGATTAATTCGTAATGTGTTATTGATTTGTTAGCTTCAGTTTTCCACTATTGGTAGTTTCATCAGTATAATTGAGATATCTAGGTATTATATACAATTTGATAAAAGTAAAAATGTTACGCGTTAAGAATCAGAAAGAAGGAAAATAAAGAAATGATTTAAAAAGTAAGAAAAAATAAAATGGAACAAAAGAAAAGAAATTAAAATTTTTAAAATATTAGAACTAAAAAATGGTCCCGTTACAAAGACCCTTTCATAATAGACATCGATGCTCGTTTTAACCAATGGACAGCTTCCTTTTCTCTGCAATTCAATAGAATTTGGAAAGATTTCCAACGTTATTTCGATGCTACTTACTTTAACGATATCAAGTTTAAAAAAAATTATTTACAGCTTGACACTTTTTGAGCGATATTAGGAAACTGAGACACTTAAGTTATGCATCGTTTTTTAAGCTCTCTAATAGACGTTATTACTATTATTTACGATGATTTAAAAAATAATATTCATTATATTTTTCTTTGATTATATGATTATGCTCGTTAATCCACACGTTTAAAAATCATTCACTCATTTATATTTTCTTTTTCGTTTAAAAAAAAATTCATTTATCTCATCCTTCTAAAAAGGACAATCCTAGATAAAATAGGGGATCTTGATTGTTGGATGTGCTTAGCACTTCTTTCTTCCCAACCGGGCTACACTCGTCCCTTTTTTATTCAGCACGGCAAACTCTTGCATATCGAAGGTGGCAGGCACCCTTTTGACATATCAGGCACAAGGCATAAAGGTATATAAATAAACATAGTACACAAGCTCAAAAGAGAGGGATATAGAAATATTCAACCATGACAATTTTTTTGAAAAATATTTGAAATAACTTGAACCTAACTGTAAGAAAACATGAAAGAAAGTAATATAAAAGTATATATATTTATAAAATACAGCTCATTCTATATACCTAATTAAAACATTATGAGAAAAGATACAGTTCGGCAATTTAAAAAGACGATTTTCTGGAAGTTGGCTAATAGCCACGGCCATTCGACATGATTTTTAAGACCTTACGGCTATTATCTCTAATAATTTTTTATATAAAATAGACCTAGGTATATATAGAGTTTTTTTCGGACTCGGGCTTAGAGTTTTTTCGGACTCGGGCTATAAGAGGTACCCCGACCCTAAAATTAAATATTAGAAACATGCCCAAATATCATTTTGTTTCAGCCAAATGCCAATCAAAATCACATGTTATTTTTAATCCTACACATGTCATTCATTCATGTAATTTCCATTTTACAAATTAACAATTTCTTAAATTTACATTTTATGACTAGTTAAATAAAACTATTACTTACGCTGCATTTATAGTAAATGCGTTATTTTCAAGCGTTGCGTTATTTAATTTTAAAAACTAAAAATGGAGATTATTATTTTATTTAATATTTATAAAAAAATCATCATTTTTTATCGAATTAACTATTATTTTTATAATCGTATTGCATATTTTTTATCAACGTATCGCAACATGTTTTTCAAATTTTATTATAGTTATCATTATAAGGCTACATATTTATAAATTTACAACTATTTATTGGCTTTATATTATAATAACGCTGCGTTAAATAACGCAACGCTTGCACAAAACGCGTTTACTATAAATGCGGCCTTACATCATATTCTATCAGGTTAAATGAAATATTTATCATATATATACAAATTAAATAAAATGTTATACTCGGTTTTGCAATTTTTTTGATTGATAATATTCGTTTTATGGTGGTTAAATATACTTTTATTTAATATGACAATATGTAAATAAATATAATACACATAATTTCTAATTTTTACTTAGATATTTTTTTTTCAACCTTACTTTCAATTATCTTAATTTTAATCTTTTTATAACCTTACTTTCAATAATCTTAATTTTAATCTTTTTATAACCTTACTTTTTACTTAATTTTAATCTTTATTAATATTTTTGAAAATTCAAAAATACTAAAATATAAAAGGAAAACAATTATTTTTATCTAACTATCATGCGTGGCAATAAATGTTATTTTATTCTGCGTGTATATAAAAATGATAATTACTAAAATATAGTAAAAAACACTACCCTGTATATAAAAATAACAATCATAAAGTAAGAACAGTACGTGTTTTCCATTCCAAAAATTTATTTATACTAAATATAATTACATCCTATAAATTACACATTTGTTTATACTCATACCATATCCTACATGACATTTCCGGTGTCGAACATATATTCTTACTCTATTTCACTTGCCAAATTGAGAACACTCGTAGGATGAGTATGGATCTTATCTTGGGTTTATGTGCTGATTTGATTATCGGATGTCCATTTTTTCTCCCTCATAGTTGAAAGACATACTCATATTGCTACCACTGGGATTATTGTTCATGGGCATATATTGTTCATACCCTATCATTGGCTCATTGTACCATCCACAGTATTATTTATAGATATTTTCTTTGCTTGTCATCGATTTTTGTACTCGTTGGACAATTTCTCTTTATATAGTTCATGGCATGACATTTATAGCATCCTCTCTTGCTCTCTTTTTCGTAGTTGAAATGACCATTTACTGGTCCTGATCTAATATACGGTGTCACGTAAATGACCGGAATGGACAGCGCATATTTATTATTTATTGCTCGGCTCTGATTCTGAATATGCATTACCCATTCATCAGGCATTGGATGAAAATCTGAAGAAGATGCATACCCATATTCACATATTGCATTTGCATTAGATTCATACTATTATTTAATTTATAAGCTACTTCCATTTTAAATTTAAAACGAATCACTTTAAAATAAAATTTTTAAATATTTTTTTAAAATAAAATTTATAATTATAAAAATTTTAAATATGTTTTATCCTTTTTCTCCTTTGCTTTTATATATTTAATAACATATTCATTTCTTTATTCATAACAATAAAACACATATTTTAACTACATATTTATTATTTTTACTAAGATATGGACAAAACATGATATATTTGTAGATACACAAATAATCAAACTATTTTACTTAATTAAAATATAATTGTATTATTCATTTACTTAAGTTACCATAAAGTGGGTGCATATTTGCCCTGACTTTATAAATAATATTACCCATTTACTTGTTTATTTAAGAATTTTCCTTTACTATTTCACATTTCATAAAATCATAGTTAACAGGTAAAAAACCATGGAAAGACGGTGGAAATAAATACAAAAAAATAGAAGGAGGATTAATTATAGTTGACGGTTGCATAATGCTTGAATAGGGCAGTTATTCTTCTGAAATTGGGGAAGAATTTTTTGTAATTATTACATGCTGGACATAAAGGTGTGAGATGAATGAAATAGTAGGCCAAGGAGTATGTCTGGTGGCCTGGTATGAACATGAAATTAAAAATTTAGGTAAAATTGTGTGATGTGTAATTTGTAATCGACTATGCCCTCTAGAGATAATAGTAGTACATGGCCAAGTGGATATCAACCATGAGAACGTATTTAATTCTTTAAATTAGAAAAAAAGAATATTTTCTGGTAATGGACGTTTTCTCGAAATGGATGGAATTTGAAGAAGTTCACATACTAACTACGGAAATAGTGTTAAAAATATTATGGGGCAAATTCGGTATTGTGAAACCATTCGTTTCTGGTATGGAACCTGCATTTATTAGCGAAAACTTTAAATTTTTGCAAAAGAACTAATGTGCAGCCATATCAGCTCCACCTTACCACCCTAGTTCAAATGGACAGGCAAAAAGGATGGTAGCTGTGGTTGGAAAAGGCAAAGGATAATCAGGGTGAAATATGGATAGTTATTTCATACTGTAATAGTATAAAAGTTGGAGGGTTGTCTTCAGTGGAATAGTTTCTAAGCTCTATAATGCTTATTTTATTGGATATGGTACAAAAAAATTAGATAAAAATAAATCGGGAATAGGACATACAGCGGACTTAAAATATACAGTGGCCAAAACATATGTGACTTTTAAAAATGGAAAAAAGAGGTGATTAATGTTTTAGAAATAAATTAAATAAAATTATGTTCGAAGATGACTCGAAAGTAGTTTAGGCATCATGATCAAATAAGGAAAAAGGTTGCATAAATAGGGAATATATATTGAATAATTGATAGGTTATATTTTAATTTTCTTTTATAAATATGGAAATATAGAAGAAATATATTGAATAATTGGATAAAGTTTTATATTTAAAAATAGAAAGTAAAAGATTGGTGGTAAAACACTGATCGATAGATGTAGTTCTCATACATCGGAATATGATAAACATATTTGACTAAGTAACTGGTTTTAAAGACGATTTAGGGTAAGAAATGATATTATATATCAAAGGTTAAAATTGAAATTACATTGAACCATTTATGAAATAGTAAAACAAAATTATTAAATAAACAAGTAAATGGGTAATATTATTTATAAAGTCAGGGCAAATATGCACCCACCTGGTAACTTAAGTAAATGAATAACACAATTATATTTTAATTAAGTAAAATAGTTTGATTATTTGTGTATCTACAAATATATCATATCCTAGTTAAAATCAGTCATATGTAGTTAAATTATGTGTTTTTAAAGTTATGGACAATGAAATGAATATGTTAATCATAAATAAAATATATAAAAACAAAGGAGAAAAAGGAAAAAACATATTTCAATTTTTTTTATAATTGTAAATTTTATTAAAAAGAATTATTTAAAAATTTTATTAATAATCATAAAAATTTATTACAGTATAAATATGATTTGTTGTAAACCATTTCCATATATTTGTAACAACTTTCTTAAAATTATTTAACTTGATGTGATTATTATTTTTTATATGTTATCAATATTTTATTTTTAAAATAATTACAGTCACAGCAAGTTAAACAATTTTATAAGTTATTACAAATATATGGAAATATTTTATAACAAATCATATACATATTGTAGTTTTAGATTTAAAATTGGATTTAGTAGCTTAATATATTAAATAATAGTGTGAACCTAATGCAAACGCAATATGAGAATATGGGTACATATTAAAGACAGTGAATATTCCCATAAATTTTCATCCAATGAAAGGCCGAGCAATAAATATATATGGAGCGCCGTCCATTCCGGTCATCACGACACCAATATATTAGACCAGGACCAATAAACGGCCATTTCAACCAAGAAAAAGAGAGCAAGAGAGGATACTATAAATGTCATGCCACGGACTATATAAAGAGGAATTGTCCCTAACGAGTACAAATATCGATGACAAGTAATAAGGAAATACCAATAAATAATACTTTGAATGGTACAACGAGCCAATGATAGGATATGAGCAATATACGCTCATGGACGATAATCCCAGTGGTAGCAATACTAGGATGTTTCAACCATATGAGAGAGAAAACAAAATGACCACCCGATAATCGAATCAGTGCATAAATTCGGGATAAGATCCATACTATTCCTACTAGTCTTCTCAATTCGACAAGTGTATAGAATATGAACGGATGCTATTAACAACACTTAAATGTTATGTAGGATGTGGTATGTAGTATAAATAAATGTGTAGTTATATAGGATGTGATTATATTTAGTATAAATAAATTTTTGGAAGGGAAAACATGGAGTGTTTTTACTTTATTGATTGTTATTTTTTTATACACACATGAGAGTTAGACAAAAATAATTGTTTTCCTCCTATAATTTTGAAGTATTTTTTTATATTTAAATATATGAATTAATTTTTTTTATGTGATTTTAAAATAAAGTAATCTTAAATATTTTTAGTCAGACTCGGGTCGGGCTGGAACAAAATTTATGCTCGGGTCGAGCTTGGGCAACGAAAAAATACTTGCAGGACTCTAGGTATGCGGCCTTAGTTTAGCCATTCCCAATCTATTTATTTTGAATTAAAATCATACCATTTAAAAAAAAATGTGATTGCCAATAAGAATACTATTGAAATTATAAGGCTTATTTACATTTCTTAATGTTTTGATAAACAAATCAGATTTTATAAGCAATGATACATTCTTGGATCTCGAAAACAGGCGTTGCATGATTCTGACCGGACCTAACCAGAGTGGAAAATCTACTTACCTACATCAGGTGTGTATGCTAGCTATTCTGGCCCAGATTGGTTGCTACGTGCCAGCCGATAAATACATCACCGGAATTTTTGATCGGATATTTATAAAGTCCAATATATTTCAAATATTATTTATGTAAAAAATATATAATATCCAACCAACGTATTTTTAAATTAAATTTAAATGGTATATGATATTTTTATATGATTAGCCTTCGATATTTTGCCGTAGTATACTCTTTCTCTTTTCTCTCCTTAATCTTCCTTTCTAATTTCCATAAAAGGTTAATTTTTGAAAAAGTTAGACCTTAAATATAAACTTAATATATATTATTAGTAAGACCTTGAATATAACTTAATATCTATTATTTAAATACCGTAAAACCCATGAACATTTATATCTCTTGCCTTTGCCCTCCCCCCGTCATTTTGATATAAAAGGTGACTTGCTTTTAAAATAATCAATTTTTAACAAATATCTGATATATCAAACCAGTTATTGGGAATGGGTACTCGTCCATTTTGCTCCTTAAAGATGGTAGCAGGGCCACAAATATAAGTTTTTTCTCTGGAAGTATTATATAATATTAATTATTAATAAATCTGATGCAGAACGGGCACTCATGAAGATCTCATGAACGGCCAATCGATGGGCTTGTCGGAATGGAACGACATGGGCCTCATTCTCAACCAAACGACCAATAATTCCTTGGTCTTGATCGATGAGTTGGGCTTGAGTACATCTATATGCGAGGCGGAGGCGTTGAGCTATTCCAGTCTATATTACTTGGTTGACGAGGTTGTAAAATCAGAAAACATTTATTTTGAATAATATGAACAGGGAAAATAATTTTTTTATAAAGGTTGTTCGCATCATAAAAGCTGGTTATTTTGCAGCTGAAATCAAATTAAATTTTTTTTATACTCGCTCACATTATGCTATACAATAATAATTTCCTCCTTATATTTTTATTTTAGATTAAATGCCTAACCATTTGCGCCACTCATTTACCTCTGGTGACAACGTTGCAAGAGAAGTTTCCGGAAAACGTGGTTAATTGTCACATGTCAACCATTTTAGAGGAAATTATAGTCCAATCTACCCCCAGCCAAACAAGTTCTAGAAATGATCCTTTTTTCTCTCGTTTAATATTATATTCGTGTATAATTTTACTAAACTAAATTTTCCTAACATTTATTATTTAGCCACTGAAACTAATCAAGACTTGACTTACCTATATAAGTGCGTCGAAGGTCGAACACTTAATAGTCACGGAATCAATTCGGCCCGTTGTGCTGGACTACCACGGGATATCGTCGACAAAGCTAATTCCATAGCTCGCAAATATGAAGCCGTATATCACAATGACAAGTATGTTGTATTATATATAGCAAAATAGTAAGAAATACTTGAAATAAATTGCCCTTAACTTAAAGATGTAAGTTAATTTTTAAGTTGTAAGCTCAGTTGAGTTGGATTTAATTATTAACTTCTTTTAGACTGTAAATCTCGTCGTATTCCTCAAAGACCCCAAGCATTGTTTTGTATCAGGGTTTCATCGGAATGTTTGTAGGGACTAGGGAGTAAAGGACGTTTGTGGCTGATTTTTAACATTTTAGCCAGGCACGTTTTACCCGATTCAAGTGTTTAATTTGTCATCCATTTTATAATTTGTATGAAACTATTTTATAACAGAAAAACCTTGGACAACTTTCTAGATTATTTCACTGAAACTCCAAGGACGATACTATGATATATCTATCAACCAAATTTTATTTAAAAGAAATTCTATGCACGCAGACTCGTTCAGATTTATATTTAAAATTATACAATATATAGATTTATAAATTATTATTTATTTTTTGGAATTTATATATGTATTCATAAAATTGGAAAAGTTTTTTATGTATAATATTTATCATATATAAACTTTGTATATAATATAGGATGTCCTTTATCAATTATGTAAATTAATGTAATTGTAATTTCTAATTTGTATCTCCAATTTATTATACAATTATTCAAAAATAAATTCAAGGTTTCTCTTCTATGCTATTAATTATTGTTACAGATACGTACGTTATGCCGCTTAGAAATTAATTTCTTCACACAAACAGTTCGGGTGGAATAGATTTTATTAAATTCAAAATAAAAAAAAAATAATTTTAAATATTTAAAGGGAAAAAAAACGAATGAATTTTATTACAATTCGCTGAAGCTTAAGTTAAAAATACATATTTAAAGAAATTATAAATCTCACAATCATGCTGAAAATCAGAATTATAAACTAAAAATAAAATAAAGATCTGCAAAAGTAGGCCCGACCCAAAACCCGTTCGGGCCTGGCCTACTTTTTAAAAAAAATTGGGTTCGAGCTGGGTCGGGCCTAATATTTTTTAAAAAAATTCGGACTAGTAGAATTTTTTAAAAATATATCTAAATTCTATGTTAAGTTTTTTTGTGTAAAATAAATATATTTGATTTTATTTATAGAAACTAGACCCCATAATAACATATATCGTTTATTTTGAGTAATTATATAACTATTAATTTCTATATTTAAAAAAATTCCGGCCCAGCCGGACCTGCAAATTTTTTAAAAAAATATTACGGGCCGAACCGGAAAAACATTTTAAAAAATTTGGGTTCGGGCCGGACTTGAAAAATTAGACCCGATGCAGATCACTAAATAACTCAAAATTGCAATCATAATGACTTCACAATAATCAAATTTTACAAATCTAAAAAATTAATTAAAATAAAATAACTCAGAAAACGCAATACATAATGACTTCACCGAAAATCAAATTTTATAAATCTAAAAATAAAGTTTTAACGCAATACACAAAAAAAATAATATCATTGCATAATAATCATTCACGATGATTAACGGAGAAGCTGTCGTTACACGACAGGACCTGAAACTATAAGTTTTGCTTAAGGAAGGGAGGGCGGAATACCTAATCCAACTCGAACATAAAATTAATTCCATATTTTTTTCATATTAAAAGAAATAATCTAAAAAAAGAACAAAATTGTAATAAAATCAAACTTATCTCTGTTTAAATTCAAAATGTTTCTCAATCAGAAGTGAAAGAAGAAATTTCCGAATTAGCCTGAACTGAATATTATTCACTAACCAGAGTTGAGCAGTACCGCTAATACTTGTATCTAAGATACAAGATTCTTTTGTATCTTAAACTCGTTATCTTTTTGGTACGATACTAGTATCTGTACTGTATCTAAGATCCTATATTCTTAAAGAATCTTGTATTTTTTTCCGTGAAGTTGGCGAAACGACTTGAGGATCAATTAACAAAATATATGTTAATATTGGTCTTAATTGATCATCAAACTAGACATCGGCGGAATCAAAGCTTAGTGAGTTGTAAGAAAAATGTAAATTTTGAAGCTGGCGGAACTTGAGGAATAATATTACCGAATCCTATACCATTGTGCAGCCCGTTAATTAATCCTAATTGATCTTCAATCCGGACAACAACGGAATCAAACGTTAATGAGTTATAAGCATAATAAGAAGTGTTGTCATTTTCCCAAAACCGAAAATAGGATAGATCATGGACCTGACAATTATTTATTATTTAATTTGTGTTTTAATATTCTTCAAACTGGATATCTGTATCATTAACCGTAACCGAGTTATATCCATTTTAAAAGTGTGAAAATAGCAGAATTACTTGAAGAAAGTGAAGATCAATGACTGAAACTTATGCCAATGTGTAGCTCGTTAATTGATCCTCCAAGCCGTATACCAGCGGAGAAGCGTTCGTGAGTTATAGGCGAAATATAGAAATTTTGGCCAAAATCTAAAATTTTAGCGATCATTTATTAGTTAGGGCAAATATATAGTGCATTAATTAATCCTCTCTATCTTTCAAACGGAATGTTAAATAATTTAAACCGAAGTAAGCTATTAACAAAATTTAGAAAGTGAATTTTGAAACTGGCAGAGGGACTTGATCAATTACCGAAACCTATGCCATTGTGTAGCCCGTTAATTGATCTCATACCGGAAACCGGCAGAATTAAAGTTAGTGAGTTATAAGCTAAATAAGAAAGTTTTGGCTCTTTGGAAAAACCGAAATTAAAAATATTATTTTTTGAAAGCTCCGTGAAGTTGGAACGACTGAAATAAAAAATATGCCATTTTTTAGTGCTTCAATCCGTATAGTAGGTGAAGTTAAGGAAAATAAGTCACAAACAAAAATAAAAACTTTGGCCAACTTCACGCTTAAAAGACGATTAGAAACACAGTAGTTCATAAGTAGAGGTTAATGCTTCAACACTTTCGTAGCGGAAATTAAGGATAAAAAGTTATTTAAAAAAACAAAAATAAACAATAATCGAGGCCAACTAATACAAAAACTATAGTAGTACTAATCATCCAGTTTTCACAATTATATAGTACTATTATTAATTCTGTTAACCGCCATATGAAAGAAAAAATATTTATACACTAAGGAAATGTTTTGAGGTCAATTTTAACCAGAGAAATTATTGAAGCACTAACAATGAAACTTATATCATTCTTTAGTGCTCCATAAGTAGAGTTTAGCGCTTTAATCAGTTTAATAGCCGAAATAAAAATAATAAAGTTATTAACAAAATAAACAAAAGTATGGCGGCACACCAAAAAAAAAACTAGAGCAGCGACAAACATTTTATTTTGGCGTTTATTTAGTAATTAATTAGTTCATTTAAATCAGGTATTGATTTGGTTAACCACCGAATAAATTTTTTTTATAAGCAATTAAATATTTCAAGGTTAAATTTTGACCTGATAAATGTAGAGGTTAGTGTTTTAATCAGCTAGGCAGTCAAAATTGAAATAAAAAAAGTTAATAAGGCGCACAAATCAAAGACTAGAGCAATGACTTAATATATCATCATTAGCGCTTTCAATTTTATATTTATTGGCAAAGTTTTTATTTTTGCTTGTAACATTTTTTTCCTGCTTCGACTACTATACAGATAGAAGCAATAACGAACTCAAAAAAATAGTATATCATCGTTAGTGCTTCCAATCGTTCGACAACGTTACGGAGTTTATTTTGAACCCATATTTAATACTTAAATTATGCTTTCATATTCTCCTACAAGGATAACCTTATCTTAACCATTATCGAGTTATAGCCATTTTAAAGCATGCAATTTGCGGAATGACTTTAAAAAAAGTAATGATCAAATTCTGAAATTTATCCCTATGTGTAGTGCGCAGGGGCCCCTACAACGGGGGGGGGGGGGTCCGAAGCAACTGCTTCAGTGAATTTGAGTGGGGGTACCTTTTTTTTTAAATTTTTTTTTTAAATTTAAAAAAATTTTTTTTTTACATCCATCATGATCATGTGATTTCTTGTTAAAATGTAATAATAAGACACCCCCCCCCCACCACTTAATATTTAATTTCATATATTGAGGGAAATTTTGGTCGATGTTTAGTAAATTTTATTTAATATCTCGTAACCAAGCCTTCTGGGGGAACAGGCAACAAGAAGGCAATATGATGGCTCTTATTAAGCTAATTGCAGATCTGAACCTATTCTAAAAATGTATATACAGCAAAATGAAGAAAGAAAAAAGGATAAAAAAAATAAGGGATTAAAAACGAAATTATATTCAAACCTATTATCATATAACATAAACATTCTCATTGAAACCATGAAAAATATGGTTATAAAAAAAATTCAAAATGAGATTACATTTAACAGGTGCTTTTCAATCATAATACGATGTTTCGAAATCAGAAGCAATAGCTTTGATAGTAAGATATGTTGAAAATAGTGAGACGCCGAAGCCTGTTGAAAGACTGATTGACATATATTGTACGGGAAATACCACAGGTCTCGATATTAAGCATAATATAATATCCAAACTTGGCTCGATGAATTTACCCCTTGAATATCTAGTTGGGCAAAGTTATGATGGCGCCTCAAACATGAGTGGAAGAATCAATGGTGTGCAAGCCTTGATTAGAGCAGAGGCGCCAAAGGCAGCTTTTATTTGGTGTTATTGTCATCGATTAAATTTAATCATTGTACAATTATGCCAATCAATCAAAAAACTTCGAAATGTTCTAGGAATACTAGATGAGATTTATGTCTATTTTAATGGTGTAAAAAGATATGAGGTACTCAAAAAATTTCAGCGTAATGATCTGAAAAAATCGCAACGATTTCTACGCGTCAAGAATAGTTCCTTATTTATCTAAATTTTAAATGTTTTTTTTATTTAGAAGCTGGCTATCGTCATATAAAGCTATTGTAAATTTTTTTCAACTTTATGATGCCTTGAGGGCAGCTTAGGATTCTGAAGATCCTGCCACTTCCACTATGGCTAGTGCTATAGTCTTTAGAATAGAAAAATTTGATTTTATCTTATCACTTTGTGTTTTGGATAAAATATTGTTGATAACAAGTTTGGCTTGTACAAAATTGCAAACCATTTCGAAGGGTATAGGGTATGCAATAAATCAAATTCAATTGGCAAAAGATTGCTTGATTAATTTGAGAAGTATAATATAAATTATTGTCTTAATTATTTTTTAATCTAATAGATAATAACATGAATTTTTGGATGTTTTTTCAAAGGCGCAAGATTTTATGAAGGAGAGAAATCTATCTTTTGATTTTGCTAGACTTCAAACATTACAATCCAAAAAGGAGAGGTATATATACTTTCATCATTAAATATAGAAATTTTTTTTAGTGTTTTATGCTGCACTCGATTTAATTATTATGCAGTTTAACGAAAGATTTAATGATGATTCAATGAAATTTTTACATCAAACATCATTTTTTACGCCATAGGGAATGGCAGAAAAATCAATTATTAAAGAAGATATTGAGGATATCTGTGAATTTTACAATTTAAATTCAAGTCAAATTTTCGAAGAAATGTTGAAGTTTAGAAATATTTAAAAG